CTGTTTTCTTAGTCCTGAAAGCATTAAGGTTAAGGATATTCTGGCCTTGGCTGCCATTTGTATATCTGGCCTATTCATAACTGAATAAGATAAATTCTTGACTACATTCACAATTAGGACAACTACTGTTCTGTAGGTGATTATTTGTTTTCTTTTTGGCTGTCAGCATCCAGATCTCTTCATACCTTTGGGCACTCCCCAAGCGATGAATCTGGGAAGTGACCTGGGTTCCAGCAGTCCACTTCCCACTGAGTTATCTCAGTCTCAGTCATGAGGGCACTGGCATCATAGGATGGGAGGGCAGGTGGAGCATTTGGTGCCGAAGGCAGAGGGAGAGCTCTCCTCACGAGCTGGGATTGCAGGTGTGATTCTGGACATTGTCCCTGCTGCCAAGCCTCCAGCTCAGTTCTCCCGTCCTCCCTCTCTTTATAAAGAAGAAAGTAAGGTGCCAGATCCATGTCCCTGATAATTAGAAAGTGCTGCCCATTCCCAAGCCTTCTCTTCTCCTTCCTCCTTTCACATTAGCACGGGACCTTGCGAATCAACAAATCAATCAATTGAAATGGAAATGGAAATGGAATTTGACTATTTCAATGCCAGTGTGTAGCCAACAGACTGTGTCAGAATATACAGACCCCCTCAAAGAAGCCTGATTATATACTTAACAGCTTGAGTTATTAATAATGAACTGTACTTTAACATCAGAACAAAGAATGTGGAGCTAAATGTAAGGATTTAAGAGTTTTATGGTTGACAATATGATTTCAGATATGTTTATCTCATCTGTTCCCATTGCTCAGGGGAGCTAAGTGAGGCCACACAGCTTGACCCCAGGCCTAACTCCCATTCCTTTTTCTATCATACAATGTGAACATCAGTAACTTTAAAACAATAATATAACTAAATCGCATTAAATTGAAATAAGTAGAAAACAAACTCTAAATTCAGGAAAAGCACACAATCTAGTCTTATTATTTAGTTCACAAAACACAGCATATAATAATTTTAAAATATTTTATTAATACCAAAAATTGTTCTTTATTTAATACTAGAGGCCCAATGTACAAAATTTGTGCAAAAAGTAGGCCTTCCTTCCCCCGGCTGCCAGCACTGGCTTCCCTCTGGCGCTAGGACCCAGCTTCCCTCACAGCTGGAAGTTCATCCAGAAGGAAGTCCGGTCTAATTAGCATATTACAATTTTATTATTATAGATGCTTGTGTAAATACAGGGTGGGGAAAAAGTAGGCTTACAGTGGTGAATATGGGAAAGTAAATAATAATACAAGAGCTCAGTGCTACAGATTGACTTCCTCTCATGAATAACTTCTCAATCAATGTGGCGAAGTTCATTGTCTTAAGAAATTGCCACAGTCACCCACTATCCTGACCTGTCAACAGCCATCACCATCGAGGCAAGACCTTCCAGGGCAAAAACTTACTGAAATCTGAGAAGATGGTCCCTAATGCCATTTACTTACTACTGGTCCATCATTACCCGGGACTGGGCGTGTGAACATGCTCCCAGGGACTCTCTGAAGAATTACAGAGCTTCATTGATGATGACACAGATGCAAGTCTTAACTCAGAATACTCAGGAAATTGTCAAGAATGATTTGTATTCTGGTCATGTTAAATTTAAAACTTGGAATTTGATAATGTACACATGAAAATACACATATCTCAAATATAAAAAATAACATTAAGAATAAACTGTTTCACATACTCACAACTGTAAACCTACTTCTGCCCCACGCTGTATATAATTAAGACGAGAATGGAAGGATATGTTTCAAAATATTAATAATGACTACCTGTGAGGGGAGTAGGATTATGAGCAATTTTGTGTGTATTTGGAAGAGTATAAGCTTATCTTCATTTTCTAAATTTTCTACAATAAATTCATTACCGCTGAGACCGGTTTGGCTCAATGGATAGAGCGTCGGCTTGGGGACTGAGGGGTCCAAGGGCATGTACCTTGGTTGCCGGCACATCCCCAGTAGGGGGTGTGCAAGAGGCAGCTGATCGATGACTCTCTCATCGATGTTTCTAACACTCTCTCTCTCCCTTCCTCTCTGTACAAAATCAATAATATATATAAATAAATAAATAAATAAATAAATTAATTACCTACATACTTTCTGAAAAAGCCTTTTGTCAATGTTATTAGTTTTTATATTCTACCTTTAAACTAGTCAACTCATTATTGGACTCAATGAAAGTATATTTGAATATCCAAATATTGAGCAATTGGTATTTCCTGTACATTATTGCATTTAATTTTCACAACACTTTCATCAGGCAGTATCATCATCCCCAGATAAGGAAGCAGATGCTTGAAGAGGTTCATTTGTCAGAATCATACAGGAAGAGATGTGTTGGTTGTGAGCTCAAAAGCCCATTCTCCTTCTGCTGGGCTGACCCATCCTGCCTACCTTTGACTGTTTCCATAGAGATGTTACAGGAGTTGCTCTGACACAGGCTTGGTGCAGTCTCTCAGACACTCTTTAAAACACATCTAAAGTATTAAAGTGTGTAATTTTAAAATGATTATATGTATCATGAAGACTAGAAAGAGCCCTAGCTGGTTTGGTTCAGTGGACAGAGCCTTGGCCAGCAGTTTTAGGGTCTCAGGTTCAATTTCAATCAAGGGAATGTACTAGAAAAATATCCTTGAGTGAGGATTAACAAGACAAAACAAACAAAAAGACTAGAAGGATATGCTCCCAACAGTATATATCGCCAGGGAGTGGAACTGATAGTGGTTGGACTTTTATTTTATAAGCTTTTATAACTCACTTGTTTTTTTGTGTGTGTGTGTTTTTTTCCTTTAAAAAGCTTTCCAATCATTTTTTAAATAGATGAGTCAGAAAAAAATTACTGACTTTGCCTGTATCGTTTATCTGACCACTGGTGCATCTCCTATCAGGTTTATTACCCAAATCACTTCTAGAAATGCACATCAAAATGTATACTACATCACCAACCTCTTGTCTTCTCATTCAGATCTCCTGTTAGACCCTAATCCAAGGTCTCTATCTGCCTACTGACTACTGACTACTGTATCTTCAATGCTACAACAACCGCTCAGTGAAAACATTTGGCACACAACTGGCAAATGAATAAGAACATACACTTTCCTCTTTCCCAGTTTTAGACACAGTGACATATTCTCATATTAACTTTGAGGTTAGAATGTAAGTCAGGCAGAGAAAAAAGTTGTACAGGGAATTATCTTTGCTTCCAAATCTTCACACCTTGCCAGAGGTGGATGTTATGGGTTGAATTGTGGTTTTGACCCCCAAAAGATTGTTGAAGTCCTAATATCTGGTACCTCAGAATGTGATGTCATTTGGAAACAGAGACTTTACAGGTGTAATTAGCTAAGGTGAGGTCATCCTACTGAGGGTGAGTAACTAATCCAATAGGACTGGTGTCCTCACAGGAAGACAGCTGTGTGAAGACAGAATCTGGGTGATACATATTCAAGCCCTGGGATGCCTAAGATTGACAGGAAACACCAGAAGCCAGGAATGATTCCTCACATGTTTCAGAGGGCGCTTGGCGCTGCTGACATACGAATTTCAGACTTCTAGGTTGCAAAACTGAGAGGCAATAAACTTCTGTTGTTTTAAGCCATGCACCTTGTGGTGCTTTGCTGTGGGAGCCTGTGGAAATCAACACAGTGGCCTTGACTTTGAATTGTTACAGGTAATGGGAGAGGAGTAAACAGCCACCTGAATATCATGACCTACAGGTTTTCCATGATTTCCCAGTGTACTTTATGATCATGAAAAATATTTTCAAGAACATGCCCAGTCAACACAAGAATGTTAGAGAAGCAAAACAACGGATAACAAATTTTAATGTCAGGTACTGATATAAAATATTTAAAAAATCAGTGTTACAATTCCGCATTTCAAAAATTAACATTTTACAATTGTAGTAAAATAAAGTTTCACAGAGTTAAATTACCTAAACACTTCATTTCAATATTAACCTAACTTTTTACAGTCTACCAAAATGTATTAGTATTTTTTTAAAGCATTGGTGCTCGTCAGTGAAATGTCAGCATGGGGCCCCGACACATAAAACAGAAAGGAATGCTGTTCTGGTTGGGTGGGGGATGTGCTTCCAGAGGGGGATCACGCTTCTCTACGCGTCGCCTCTTTTTTAAAAAAAATATTGTATTAATTTTTTACAGAGAGGAAGGGAGAGGGATAGAGAGCTAGAAACATCAATGAGAGAGAAACATCGATCAGCTGCCTCCTGCACACCTCCTACTGGAGATGTGCCTGCAACCAAGGTACATGCCCTTGACTGGAATTGAACCTGAGACCCTTCAATCCCCGGGTCAATGCTCTATCCACTGAGCCAAGCCAGTCAGGGCTACATGTCACCTCTTAAAACTCTTAGGGCCTTAAGAATAGTCTGAGCACCATGGTATTAAAATAACAAATAAGATCTCATTGACAAAGAAAAACTAGGAGGTTCATTCAGTAACCAACACTTTTAACCCTCTGCTTTCCCAGGTTTTTCTGCAGTTTCACTTTAGAAAATTCTTTGGACACCAATTATTTGAATGGCAGCTATATTGAGCAGAAATTGTATTTCTATACCTGGGAAATTACAATATAAATGTTGCTGAATAGGATCCAATAACAAGGATTTTCCAAAAATGTTTTAAGGCAGTTCATTATTCATACTAATAAAAATAAAACATTTCTCATGAATACTAGTAAATCCCCAAAGCCAAGATAGTTCTTGGGAAGATAAATGAAATAAATGAAAAGGGGGATTCTAAGTAAATGAAACGTCATGGGGCCTGAGGATAAACGTCCAAACAGTAGAGAAAATGTCAAAACAACATTCACATGGTCCTATCAGGTGGGATGTGCACAGGAACAGCTGGGCTGTGGAGATGTGTGCACGGTGAGACTGATTAAAGACGGGAAGGCTGGGCAGTGCACTTGGAGCTCCCGGATCTGTCTCTTGTTTCAGCAATGTTCTGTCCCTGGAACAGACCCAGGGACACCCCTTCTTCCAGCCTCCAACCACTCTCCTGTGTCTCATCCAGTCACCACCTTCAGAACCACCTCCGGGACCAAGCACCACACCGGTTTCTTTTTTCTACCTTCACTTCTTATTGCCGAACCACCATGAGCTCCCAAATTCGTCAGAATGATTCCACCAAGATGGAGGCTGCGATCTATCGCCTGGTCAACCTGCTTCTGTGGCCCTCCTACACCTACCTCTCTCTGGGCTTCTATTTCAACCACGACGATGTGGCTCTGGAGGGTGTGGGCCACTTATTCCGCGAGTTGGCGGAGAAGAAGTGTGAGGGCGCTGAGCATTTCTTAACGCTGCAAAACAAGCCTGGCGGCAGCATTGTCTTCCAGAACATGCAGAAAGCTTCCCAAGATGTCTGGAGCAAAACTCAGGATGCATGGCAGCCACCCTGGCCTTGGAGAAGAGACTGAACCAGGCCCTTTTGGAGCTGCAGGCCCTGGGTTCTACCCGTGCAGACCCTCAGCTCTGTGACTTCCTGCAGAACCACTTCCTGGGTGAAGAGGTGAAACTGATCAAGAAGATGGGTGACACCTGGCTCACCTCCGCAGGCTGGGAGCATCTCTTCTAAAGGCTCACCCTCAAGCACAACTAGGAGCCGGTGGAGTGCAGAGGTCTTTCAGAGGCCCCTCCGCATTCCCCCGGTGTCTCTGGCTTTTACCTGAGCCTCTTCCCCAAACTACTAGCCATTCTTTTAGCCACCCTGGAGCCCTCTCCTATGCACTGGACCAAATGAAACAATCAAGATTTTTGCAGCAAAACAAACAAACAAACAAAACAAAACAAAACAGATGGGAAGGCTGTGTTAGACCCACTGGGCACAGAACCACAATGAAAGCACTGACTTAAGGTTACTATGTGTGGTTAGACGTGTGGTTAGAGTTATTAACAACACAACAGAGAAGGTCAGGGGACACATGGCTTTGTGGTTAGCTGGCAAGGCTTGCTCATTAAGGACCTTTCCAGAGACTTTTTCTAGGGAGTTCATTAATTTCACAAGCATTTCTATAGATGCCACTAATGTAGTTCTTAGAATGTGCCAGGCTCTATTCTACGCATTTGATCCTCATAACAACCCTATGAGGTGGGTACTATTTTAGCCCCATTTTACAGGCGGGGAAATAGGCATATAGAGATTACACAACTTGCCCAAGATCGTCAGGCTTGAAAATGTTGATCTTGAATTCAAACCCTCTTCAGGGGAAAAAAATGACACGTTTGGCTAGGATGACAAATTTGTCCTAGAAAATCTTGGAAGCCCGCCTGAGTGCAAAAGGAAAACCTGATCCCCTACAGCACCAGAATCAAGACTTTCTCAGCACCAGAGCTGACACTCGTCTGCTCTCACACCCCAGGATGTGAGCTCTAAATCACTTTTAATTTCAACAAAGAGAAACATAAATTGTGCACGGATGAATTCAGTATGTCTTCCATTCTTAGTGAAGTTGAGGTTTTTCTGAAATGTCTGATGTGAAACCATACTGTTCTAACATTGCAGGCTGGCTAAACAACCGAAACCTGATTCAGGAAGTACTTGCTTCTCGAATATCACAGAGACCAATATAAAAAAAGATAGTAAATAAATATTAAGTTTGGTATTAAAAAAAAGTGGTTTCAAATAAGGTTTAAGAATAACCTTGTACATCCCAATTCATTACTTTATCATATTCTTGAATTCTTTGCTTTATGTGAGAAAGTTTATTCTTGAGATAGTCACAGCGCTCCTTTTTTTCCAGAAACGTAGGATCCTGGGAAAGAAACACAGTTGTATGTCAGCTTGTGCTACCTCAGCAAAGAACTCAGAAACATACATCATCACCCAAAAAATCTCCCTTCTAACAGATTTTCCTGCAGCAGATTTCAAAATCTGCTTAGTAAGAAAACCAGCTAAGCTCTCCACAGGTTTCTAATAAACTGTATTTTTCAGAATAGTTTTAGGTTCACAGCAAAATTGAGAAATCCAAAGAGCTTAATTACCTGTAACTTTAGTAGTTTAAAATACATTCAAAGTAAACAACAACTATAGAAATGTTTAATGAAAGCTCTCTTTGGCCTCTACTGATTTGTGCAAACAAGTGAAGGATGGAGTTAGAAACGCATAACGTAACATAACCTTCGGAAGGAAATGTGGGTGACAATTGTGTGTCAGTGCTCCTTTCCCTGGGTGGCGAAATCAGGACATGACAGATGCCATCAGAACAGAACAAAGGTATCCAGCAGGCACCTCTGGTCCCTGAACAAGTAGAATCTTAAGAAACACAGAAAAAAAGCCCTGGCTAGTGTGGCTCAGTTGGTTGAGCATTGTCTTGTGCACGGAAAGGCTGACAATTCAATTGCCCAGTCAGTGCACATACCCTGATTGCAAGTTCAATCCCCTGTTGGGATGGGTAAGGAGGCAACCCATTGATGTTTCTCTCTTTTTCCCTTCTTCTCGCTCAAAAGAAAGGAAGGAAGGAAGGAAGGAAGGAAGGAAGGAAGGAAGGAAGGAAGGAAGGAAGGAAGGAAGGAAGGAAGGAAGGAAGGAAGGAAGGAAGGATTACTTTTAAAGCTAAAGAATCTAAAATCTGCCAGTTGTCTCCATTGTACCTGGATAAGAATATACTTTGAACAAAATAATTTTACTAACCTTCTTTTTTTTCTTAAATTCTTCATGGATTCTTGAAATTCTCTCATGTTCCTAGAAATGGCATATTGTAAACTTGAATTAAAACAATTGCATTTACTCACAACCTATCTCAAGAATGTGTCTCAAAGTACACAGGGAATTAGAACAGAAAACAATTTTTACCTAAGACTGCAATCACTGTATTCATACACACAAATGCAATCCACTGCACGTGTGAGGATTACTATGAGCCAGGCACTGAGCTGAGGCGTGAACAGAGGGAAAGGCCCCGCGGGCATGAAGCCAGAAGCGAGTCCCAGCGGCACTGCCTGCCAGCGGTGTGCCCTGAGCAAGATCGTTACCCTGCGAAGACTCAGTTTTCTTATTGGCAAAATGGAAACAATAACCATACGTACGTACCTCATAGGACAGTGAGAAGCTTCACTTATATGAAATGACCCCTGTAAAGTGCTTGGCACAGAGTGATCACACTCGCTATTACTCAGCATCATTTTCAGCCTCATTGGAAAGCTCTTTTTCGTGTTATCACATATTGTGATCGAGAGGTTCAGATTATTCAACTTTTGAAAACAGCTAATATAATGTTCCTTCTAACTTTAAGTTTTATATAAAAATGTGCAATTTATACTTTACTTAAATAAGAAAATAAAATCCCTGTCTAATAATTTAAGGCCGAAGACATTATGTAATTTGAATTGTAATCTTGAACCTTGACGACCTCAAGTGACTTACTTCCCTAGACACACACAGCAAACGCGTGTGGTTATGACTTCTCTGTATTTCAAAAAAGGTCAGAATATCCTCTCGTCACTCAGTGTCCCAGGCAGCCGCAGACACCGACCTGCTGGCTTCCTGAATGGAACGGCAGTCTGCTCATCACTGCGTCCAGCTCGTCGAACTTCCTCAGGACAGCCTGGACTTCTGCAGAGAGCTCCTTGTACTCTGAAAACTGGTCTTGGAACACTGCCTTATAGCGCTCTCGTTCATCATCCGTCCGAATCACAGGGTATTTCCTGGGGAAGAGGGGGAGGAATTAACCAGTTATAACTTGTTCACTAAAACAAGCTGAACGCGAAATCAGGTTAGCTTATTCCTCACTGACCAAACTGTGTACCTCCAACTCAATATGCTACCTCAGAGGTAACAAACAACTGCTCAAACAGAAGTGATTGTAAGCAGAGAGGATTGACTTGGAGACGAAAAGAAAAATGAAAAGCCCAAATGGAAACTCTCAGTGTGTACCTCGAAGGAGGATTTATGTTGATACTCACGCCACATAGTCAGGCAACATGATAGGTTTGGGAATGTGGCCCGAGGGGATGTGTCCACTCAGTATTTCAGGTTTCATATTTGTTGGTCTCAATTCTTTGAAATGAACTTCTTGGTCTCTCTGTCTGTCACTGCCGATGGCCATTTCACACTATCGTTTAGGGAGAAAAAGAAGATTTGTTTATAAACAGAGACAGAAGGATTTTATTCTTAGAAGAAAATGAAGGGGCAAGGAGAATAAATGCAAGAACAACAATTACGGTGTCGCTTTAGAATTACATGTGTTACAGTCACAAAGTTGTTCTGTTTCTGTAACAGGCACATTGAGACGTGGGAGAGCACACACTAGGTATAACACCCTCCAACCTCAATCACATGTACGTCCAAAATGGACGATGACATGGTGGGAGTGGGTGACTTAAGTACTTCATTTATTTAGGATTTATACCCCTAACTAATTGTAAGAGAATAAAAAATGTAGTCCAAAATGGGAAATTCAGGGACCAAAAATGGAACAAGTCTAGTTACCTAGAATAAGAAAGAATGACACCAGAACCTGAGATGAATGAATTACAAGTAGTCACTGAGCAGGTCAGAGAGGGATGCACATTGCATTGTTTTCATTATCTGAAAGGAAAGCAACAAATCCAGAGGGGAGGTGGTGGATGCCTTGAACTTGCCCACGTGTCCCTAACCTGCGATTCCCTGGAGGCTGTGAGGAGGTGGTTTAAGTCACCCTGGTTTCTACACTGGAGAGTGCTAGAGGCCTTTTGAATAAAAAATGGTACTTTCCAAAGACAGGGAAAGAACATAAGATGGAAGCGGCCCAGGGAGGAAGTCCAGGGAACAAGCCTCATGAGCTAAAAGAGCCGAAAGAAGGGCAGTGGGAGTGGAAGGCCGGGCGAGCCTGCCCTAGACCAGACCGGCTAAGACGGTGTGCAGCTTTGGGGCTGAGAAGAGAGAGTTCAGGACTCCACTAAGCAGTGCCCAGACCACCACACCAGCTGGTACGGTTGGTGGATGCCAGGAAAGGGGTTTCCATGTCACACGTAAAGGAGCCCTGTTCAGAGAGGTTTCGGACGTTCCCCAAGGTCCCACGGTTGTGACGTGCAAAGGCCACAATGAAAACCCAGAACGTTTTGGCTCACTGATAACTTCAAAGGCGTAATACAAGGAAAATGGTCTACGTAGCTGTATATTGTTCAATCGCTACGTTCCCTGAGGTGCTGGTGGCACGCCAGAAAGGAGTCTGAGCAGGGCGGGGCGGGCAATGCCGACCTGCTGGAGGAATGAACTTGAGCTGGGCACACTGATGCCTTCCTCTGGCCCCACGGACCCCTGGCTCATGCTTATTAAACTAAACTGAGAGTAGCTTGGGAGGCCCCGACTTCACTGAAAACAAATGAGATTTTAAAACCATGCCAGGAGGCTTTTAAAATCCTTTGTTTCTTGATTTCCTATCGCTAAGGCTGCCTTTGAGGTTTGGTCTAACATTAGCTCCTTCTATGGCTGATGAGAGGATCAGACTCCGAGGCTGCTCACCAGGGAGGGTTATGGAAAGGAGAAGTCTGCAGCCCAGGTGCCCGGCGAAAGGGAGAGCAGGCCCTCCCAGCGGGCAGGACAGGCCATAGGACAGTTAGCTTTTTCCTGGGTGAAGTTTCTTCAAGCAGGAACTGCTCATTTTCCTTAGTTGTCTTTCCCTCTTTCCAAGATTTACTTTTTAATATAAAGAAGGAGTTTTAAGAAACCAGAACACTTCTACAAAACCATTTCATCTGCTTCAGTGTGTTTTTGTTTTTATGCTCATAACGTTTCCTTCCACGCTTTTAGTGTGAACTGATCATCAGTTCAGAAAAAGTTTTTTTTAGGGGAAAAGCCTGGAACTGGACCTGAGACAGAATCAAAACCACTGTAAGCTTTCACAGGAAGGACGCCCTGGCTCCAGCCCGGCCAGAGCGCGCTCCAGCAGTGTTCTGATGACAAACACAAGCCCCCGTGTAGGGCCTTTCTTTGCTTCTAACAAAAACTAGTTTTGTCAGCAAATTTCAGAAAAGCTTTACTGTGAGCCAAGAGAAGGTAATTAAGCAACAGGGCAAGTAATGCTTTGGATATAATTACTAAGCCTCTCAAATTAAAAATGGACTGAATGAAAAAAAGAAAAAAAGGGGGTGCTGAGTGAATATTCTGTTAGGTTGGAAATAGGGCGAGCTAGGTAAGTGTTTCAGTGTCCATCTGCCCAATTCCCATTTTCTCTCCCTCTGAGAGTATAATGTAATGATGCATAGGCCCCCAATCCCAAACCCAGATTTTGGCTTTTCTATCTTAGGAAAGAAATCTGCTCAGTACGTAGGCATTTATTAGAATTTGTTTCTGTCTCTATTTGATCTTTACTGTATGTCTATTTTTTTTTTTAAATGATCTTATTTGCTCTTTATAAATTGTGGCTGTTAAAACACCAAAAATGGCTCTGGCTGGTGTGACTCAGTTGGTTGGGCATCCTTTTTTGCACCCAAAGTTTTCGCATTCAATCTCTGATCAGAGCACATGGCCTAGTTGTGGGTTCAATCCTCTGTGCAAGAGGCAGCTAATGAATGTTTCACTCTCACATTGATGTTTTTCTCTCTCCATCTCCCTTCTATCTCTAAAAATCACTAGTAATAATTTAAAAATCTCTAAGAAAGAAAAAAAATACCAAAGAAGGAATAGCCTAGTAGATAGTTACAAACAAGTGACAGAAAACAGAAGTTCAGAGATGGTAAGTAATTCCCCCAGTGTCACAGAGCTATTAAGTAGCTGATCTTGTATTCCAATTCAGATTTGCCTGATCCCGAAGTTTATTTCCTCTGCATCCCATTGCATTATAAAAAGAGAATGGAGAAGTTCTTTATGTAATAATAAGGAAACATCTTAGAAATGTATTGTTTGTCCTGGCAGGCTATTCAGTTGGTTAGAGCATCATCCCGATATGCCAACGTTGCAGGTTTGATTCCCCAGTCAGGGCACATACAAGAAGCAATCAATAAATACATAACTAAGTGGAAAACAAATCCAATGCTTCTCTTTCTCTCTTACATATTCTCTCTTTAAAAATCAACAAATAAAAAATATTTTAAAAAATAAATGTATTGTTAAGTGGGAAAAGTTAGGAACATAACAGTGTAGACTGTATGCGACTGTTTGTGTAAAAGGGGGAGGAGAGCCAATATATACATAACACGTTTCTGAAAGGAAACACAGGACACTAATGTCTCCAAGCAGGAGAACTGGAAAGCCGAATATAGGAGAGAAGACTTTTGAATTTAGAGCTTCTTTTGAATTTTGGACCAAGTGTTTCAAAGAAAGAAATAAATCGATGAATTGGATTCTCAGTTTGTTGCTTAGAAATAATACCCAATATCTTAAAATAGAACTTTTCAATGAGGTAAAATGATTAAAATATTTTAAATTATTGCCCTAGCTGGCTTGGCTCAGAGGATAGAGCGTCAGCCTATGGACTGAAGGGTCCCAGATTCCATTCCGGTCAAGGGCACATGCTGAGGTGGTGGGTCTGAGCCCCAGTGGGGGAGTTGTGGGAGGCAGCCAATCAATGGTTCTTTCTCATCATTGATTTCCTGTCTCTCTTTCCCTCTCCCTTCCTCTCTGAAATCCATAAAAATATATTTTAAAAATAAAATAAATTATATTAAATTATTACATATATGTAAATAATTATAATAATAGCATCTCATTTAATTATTTCAGCAATCATGCAAGGCAGAAATTACTATTATTCCAATTTTACAGATGAAGAAACTAAAGCATTAGAAAGTTCAATACTTGCTTACTACCACACAGTTAGTAAATGGAAATAGAAATTTGTGGAATAGAAATTTCTTTCCTGATTCTATAAAATTTGGCTTCTGAAAGAACTTTAAAAAGACTGCAGAAAGCTTGGGAGAATTGTATTTTAAAAGATTAAAACTTAAAAATACAAGAACCAAGAGTTCACTTGCATAATTATTCATCTAACAAAAATGAAAGAAGCTATTAATAGCTTTCTCTAACTTGGTCCTTTACGTGGTAGAAAAAACCTGGATGTCCTCTTATGAACTCAATGTAATAGATACACCTTCACAGAAAGAGGATCTACTCTGCAGATTTACAGACAAGAGAGAAAAGTATTTAACAAAATATAATGTGAACTGTTTTCTTACCATTTTTCTTTTTGATGGAAATGATGGCTCACTTATCTGGAACAAAAAAAGTTAACATGATTTTTAAAGGCATGTGAAATTACTTTGCAAATATTTTCGTCCATTTGCATTTATAGCCCAATCTTAATTTTACAAAGGTTGATTCTCTACTTTTCCTAAGCTCCTCTTACTTTTGGCCACATGTTGATGGGCCAGTGGAGAACCAGAGGAGATGGGGTGATGGTAATTCCTTGTCAATCAGAAACAAAGAGAATTGGAAATATGGAGATGGCAGTCTCTTAGGTAAGTTGCTTTGAATCAGCTAGAGATTTTCTTTATTCTTGCTTCCCATTACCTTGCACAATTAAAGAGTTTGACACAGTTTCATTATAAAATTAACAGAAAAAAGCCACAGGCCATTTTATCTTCTACCTTTTAGGAAGTTATAGCGACATCAGAGGTGATTCAAGTCCCTCCAGCATTATGAAAAGACTGATAGGAACAAGTTTTTATCAGAAAAAGAAAGAATTATGTTGATAATTACAGATGCTATGAATGTAGAATTTTGAAAGGATATTAAGAACTCGGTTGTTATTAAATTTACCTAAAATTATGAGGATGTATGTATGTTTCACTACCTAGATTTTAAACTGATCGAAATTCTTTACTTTGTATACAAGTTCTTTACTTTGTATACACAGATGTAAATTTAAGAAATATGCTTAACAATGCCCAAATAAGCTTTTGGAAAAAACTTAAATCTAGGTCAAGTTCTAGTAAGATTAGTATATTCTGTGACAAGAGTGTGGATCACATTGAAATGGGCTGAGGTTCTCCATATTACATAAGGTACTGGTTATATTTTTCCCAAATAAAAATTTTACCAATTAAAACTAAAGAAGAAGATTCTTGATATAAACTTAGTTAAGTTTTTTTTGTAGTTGTTATGCATAAGATTCATGCAAAAGAATAAAAAGAAACTATATAAGTCAACCAGCAAACAAATAGTTCATCCAGTAAATAATGACAGGATTTCATTTTATCTATAGTTTTGCACAATATACAGGAGTGGGCAAAAGTAAGTGTACAGTTGTGAGTACTTGAAACAGTATATCCTTTTATTATTACTTATTAATTATTGTATTATTTATTTGTATTACAACTGTAAACCTACTGTTGCCCATCCCTGTATACTATATGCAATTATACAGTATCTAGGTGATCTTTAGAAAATCAGGAAAAGATGCAAATATAGTTAACTTAAAATAAAGAAAAAAGTTAAAGTAATATGACATTTTCAGTATTATAGGAAATTCTACTACACACCACTCCTTAGAAGACAAAAATAAAACAAAAAAGATTAAAGCAAAACATTAGCTTATTTCAGGATATAATGAAGCTAGTACAACATACTCTTAACATTTTTGCTACCGTTCAAATGTTCAAATAAAATTATTTTAAGTAAGGCTTTGATACAATCTTATTCTCTAGGTATTATTAATTCTCCTCCTTCTCCCTCTCTTTCATGTATTTAACTAGTTAAATCCTAGAAATGAAATAAAGTACATGGATCCCACTCTAATTTGGAACACTCATCTCCCTAAAGTAAGGATGAAACGTCAAAATGCCTGGGTAAGTTTCCAGTGTTCTCTAACTTACTTTAATAATGAGACATTTTATTTCCTGAGCATGTTGTTATTCACCATACTCTTACTTGACTTTAACTCACTGGAAGAAACTGGGACTCACGATAACAGATTTAAATGAGTACCTGGCTCCTCTAACTGAAAGATTATAGTTTTTTCATTGTCTTACCATACTGAAGAATCAAGACTGTCCTCTAACTTACTTTAATAATGAGACATTTTACTTCCTGAGCATCTTGTTATTCTTTGCGGGGATTCAGAAGCTATGTTTTCCCTTAAGCATCAGAGAGACAAAAATAATGCAGCCAACAAACTCTGTATTGTGTTACACACCGGGTGTCTATTTGCAATGCCACACCACAGTGCCACTGCAGGGTGGGCTATTCCAGGCCTACCATGTCAGATACGGAGCTTCTGAACTTCAGATTAAAAAAAAAAAAAAAAAAAAAAGGCTTCTATAAAATCCCTGTTTTGCTAACTATACATATTTAACAAGGGAGTACATAAAAGAAAAAAAAGAAAAAAAAGAAGAAAACCAAAGACTGAAATTCCTTACCTCCTGCTGTTCCATGTATTCCCTGTGCCTCCGCGCCGCCTCATGCCTCCACAACTTGAGGCACACCAGCGCACTGATGAGATAGACAATCATGGTGACGAACAGGAAGACCATCGCCGCCGTCTGCCCTCCTTCCACCCGGCAGAACATCGCGTTCATCGGGGTGTTGAACACCGGGTAGTAGCAGAGCCCCCCTCGGTTGATGTCGTTCACGTAGACGATGGCCGCAGCCATGTACAGAATGAACAGGGCGATGTTGATCCCGAATTCGGTGAGGGGCCACCAGTTGGAGTCCAGAAGGATGGTCCGGTAATACATGGACATGCCGAGCACCAGGAGGATGATGGTGGTGACCCACGCCACGCCAGCGACCACCAGGATGAAGGGGGTCTTGGGGCCGCTGTAGTAGTAGCCCCCGTAGGCGCTGCCCAGGCCGCCCAGGCCGCCCAGGGCCGCGGGCGGGGCGTAGCCGAACAGGTTGTACCACTCGCTGTCCTTGTGGATGTAGGCGGTGACGCAGGCGAAGACGCCGGCGCCCAGCAGCAGCTCGGCCACCCCCAGGATCCGCAGCAGGCCGGGCCAGGACCTCATGTAGGAGTACCGCAGGCGGTAGGCCTCCACCTGCTCGCTGTAGGTGCGCGCCGTGTGCGCGCGCCCCAGCGACCCGCAGGGGTCCCGGGGCAGCATGGCCTCGGCCTCGTTCCGGGAGCTGTAGGTCCCCCCGGACCCCCCGTAAGGGTCCCTGTAGGAGGTCGGGGGGGAGTGGTGGTCCGGCCTCCCCGGAGAGGCCGGAGGCGAACACGCCACGCCGTCCGAGATGTACCTGATGTCGGACCCCGGCTTATCCCATTCTGGGTCCTTCTTCTTCCCTCGGAAGAAGCTCTTCCAGGACTCGGGGACGAAGCGCCGGACGGGCTTGAGGTCTGGCGCCACGGCCGGCTCCTCGCCGGTGTCACTGGAGTAGAAGTCAGGGCCAAACGGCGGCTGTAACGGGAGAGGGGGTGGAGGCAGGGGATCGGCGCTCACAGCCAGCTCGCTGTCACCAAGAGTCTGGAGGGTCCTTGTGGCGCCCTCTTCCTGGGCCGGGTCCCTCCGGACCTCGTGGTAGTGCCTGTCTCGATCCCTGGATCTCCCATCCTTTGAAGACATTTGTGGTTTCTACACCTGTGGCCAAGATCAGATATCACTTTATGCTTAATTTTTTTTATTGTTTTTATTATTTCAATGCTGATTTTTTTTTACTTAATAGCCAATGATCACATTTAGGGAGCCCATAGGATCATGTCTATTATATGATATGTAAGATAACATAAATATGTGTAGTTTAAGCATATATGACAATTATGTTAGCCGGGAACATTCTATACAATTTTAAGGGCAATCAAAAACTTAAATCTTAGCGCTGAATTAAAACATTTGTAAGTCTAACTTATGTATGAGCTCTGTAAACAGCAAAATCTAAATAAACAAAACTAGGACTAAATTTTAACAAGACAGGTAGAGTCCTTTCCTCAAACACCAAATCTATATATTTAAAAGTTTGAGCGAACAAAAAAATTGGTAAGTCAGTACATACTCTTCATTTTCATTAAATCAAATCTGCTTTGGAAGAATGGTCCCGAGAAGCAGTCTGTTAGACATGGGAATGAAGAGCCCCTTTCCTTCTTAAGTCAGGAAAGCCAGGTTAGGGGCATTGCTTCTGCCACTCTGAAATATTAATACTTGACACTAGATTTTAAAAACTGATTTCTCAGAGGAAAAAATATCACCAAAAGTATAGATTCCCCAAAAGCGAAACACAGAGTGGCAGCAATGACCATGTATATCACTCTTTTCAGAACAATTATCTAAATGCCAGTGCTATCGCCATGGAGAGACTCAGAAGCTACCTTAAAGGGTATTCAATCCACCCCAAAAATAAGGCACATTTTACTAAACCTGTTAATTTCCTTCATGGACACAAATACAAAAAGAATGAAAGCATTTGCTAATGTAACTAGGTTTATTGCACATGAATTTCTCCCTCAAATTGCTTACATGTATATTTACCTGGAGACTCAATGGGCACATGTGGATTTATTTTTTGTTTTTACTTTTTTAAATTTATTTTGTGTGTGTGTGTTTGTGTGTGTGTGTGTGTGTATGTGTGTGTTAGTGGGCATCAAAACTTAAAAGACTAATCCCACCTTATAATATCGAACCATTCAGACATTCCTAAGGCTTGCTTTATTTTACTCTGTAAAATGGAGAATGATCATTCAACAAATATTTACTGAATTGTTGAATGATCATTCTCCATTTTACAAAGGTGTCAGTACTAGAGGTGTCAGTGCTGTGTGCCATGCTGAACGTATATCAGTGAAGGAAGCCAACTGACACCTTTGCCTTCCGGTGTGACAGGTGATAGCAGACAAGGGAAGTGAAATAGATGGAATGCTCAGGGGCAAAGCTAAGGAAGGGGATTGATTAGGTGTGCACCAGGAGCAGGGTGTTACAATTTAAAATAGAATGACCAGGAAAGTCTTCCTAGGGAACAAGGTATTGAATACAGAAATGAAGGAGAGAAAGGAGGAAGCGAGGCAGGTATTCCAGGGAAAGCACCTCAAGTAGAGGGAGCAGCTACTGCAAATGTCTTGTGAGAGAGCCTGGCGTGTGGAACTATTAAGGCATGGAGGCCAGGGACACAGAGGTGAAGACAGAGATGAGCGAGGAGGCCCCGGAAACAATCCAGCAGGCCATGGTGGTAGTAACAGAGAGAGCAAGAAGAAGTCAAATGCTAGATACAGGAAGTTAAATTATCTAATTAAACTTTTTAAATGTAAATTTCCTAACATAATAAAAATGGAAGGAATAGTATGATGAACTCCAATGTACCCATCAACCATCTTCAATGATTAGCAATTTATGACCGATCTTGTTTCATCTATATCTCCTACCTATTCCCTCTGGCGACACCTTACTTTGAAGCAACATTTCTCCTTCCAGAGAAGCAGCCTCAAAGTTTGAAATCCAGCAGGAGATGTCAAGTATGCAGTCCATGTTCAGAAGGGCACGTACTGCCACCGACGAGACAGAAGCACCCAAGAAGTGGGTGGCGATAAAGAAGTCTAAGCTGGCGTCTTCTAAGGGGGACACTCCAATGTTAAAGAATTAACTATGCCGGTCCTAGCACGGAGCCCAATGCAAAGCAGGCACTCTTAGAAGGGATAAAAATTATGTGTTGCCCCTTTATTTTTTTATCTTTACCTACGCTTCAATTCTAGAAACGCAAAGTACTCCTACAGTTTTGAAATACATTTTCCTAAGAGTAGATGCAAAAGCACAATCATTTTAGCAAGTTTTACACAATACCCCTCAATATCTCTACTGTCTTTGCATTTAAAGGATTGACTCCGTTGCTTAATTTAAACCCGCTGTAAACAAAAACAAGTAGTGGATTTATCTTCACCAGGGAAAGATGGCTTATTTGAATTAGACCACCTTATCAATGTTTAAAAAAAAAAAAAAAAGTATAAACCTTAAGAACTGTGTAATAGCAAAATACTTTATGCCAGAGGGGATGCTCAGCTGTCTCTGAACACGTCTTGGCTGTCTGGGTCCAGGGTGCCCACACAGATCGGTGCCCTGAGGCGGGTGGGTCTTCGGTTGGGGGCCCTGCCTGCGCTCCCTGGGGACTCCCCTCTGGGAAAGCCATGGCCGTGGGGGGAACAATATCTCCCCCTAACCCCCACCCCGCAAAGTGTCCCAGGAATCGAGCTTGGCGACCTTTACACACGCAAACCACAGCTTGGGCGGGCTTTAAGGTTTTGCTGGCCCACGCAGGGGGCAGATTTAGGGCGTGTGGGGCTCCCAGGGGCTGGGACAGGCCCCGGGGTTTTAATTCTCCGAATACGTGCCCCGGCCGCCACCCTCCCCGCTCCGATGTCTCCCGCGTTCGCCGCCGGCGCCGGGCCCGCGCCTCGCCCGCGCATCGCCCCGGCCTCTCTGCCCGCCGCCCGGGGCTCCGTCCCCGCGCCTCGGGTGGAGGTTCGGCGCCTCGGAGTGGAGGTCCCCCTCCGCCGTGGAGATCCCACCCCAGAGTGACCGGAACTCAGCCGGCGCCGCCGCGCCGACCCCCTGAAGCGGGATCCGCGCCCGGAAGCGCCCGCCGCGCACCTGCGTACCCGACGGGACCGGCCGGTCGGGCCCTCGGACCCGCGCCCCGCGGCCTCTTACCGCCGGCGTCCGCCCGCGCTCGCCGCAGGTGAAGGCGGGGCCGCGGCCCGGGAAGCTCCGAGGGACCGAGGCTCCCCGCTCACTCCACCCGCACCTGCGGGCGCCCGGCCCGCCCCGCGCCCCCGCCCCCCTCACCTGCGCGGCCGCCGGAAGAGCCGCTCCCGCCGCCGCACCGAAACCGGTCCGGCTCTCGGGGCGGGGCCGGGCCCATCGGAGCCCCGCCCGGCTCTGTCGGCTCCGCTAGGAGCACTGGCCGGGAGGTGCCGTCCGGACCTCCAAGCAAAGAAAAGGCCCCAGGCGGGTGGTGAAGGTGTGACCAAGCCCTCCGGAGAGGGCTCAAGGCGAGGCAGCCACGGTCTTCCCTGTTGTTAACAAAAGTCCGACTCTGGAGGAAGGAGTTTCATATACTATAGTCTATGCCCAATGATACCCGCAGACAGTACACGTTAGGAAATATTAAGATAGGAGAAACAGAAAGATATTAAACACTTTAATGTTGATATAAATTATGTAACTTTCCAAAAAGTATCCAAAATATTCCATTGTACAACATATTAAAAAGGTATCCAAGAAGTTGAGCCCTCGGAGAAACTGTAATTAAGGCACAAAGTTTTATTTACACTCGTAATTGCATACTATGCTGTTTTATAATTCATATTTACAACCCCATAAACTTTTGTATTCTGAATTATTCCTTCACATTTTGAGATACTTAGCATAATGCTCAAACACACTTCACACACACTGGCCTCTTCTCCCAATACCACTCATAAGATTAAATAAATACTAAAGAAAAAATATATTTGAAGGCTTTTCTATTTACTTCAAGGAGAGAGAAGAGTCAGTTTCTTGTGCTGAAATACAAGTGAAGTCTTACACTGTAATTCACTTGAAATGTATATTATATCTCTGTTCAAGTATCACTGAATAAAACTAACATGAATCTGTCAAGTAGCAATGGGATTGGTGGGCTGGTTTCTATGTTCCATCGCTCTCATAGTCTTCTATTCTCATGTCTTCTTCTTCCATGTCTTCCTGGGTTGAAAAGGGCTGAGGCTGGCTGGCAGGCAGTTCATTCCCACTACTCTGACTCAAAGGCAGAGAGCAGGTTTCAGGTTCCTGGGTTTGAGCAGATTCTCCCACTGCTTCCTCTGAAGGCTGTCCTCCGATAAACGGGGCTTCATCTCCACTTTCTGGGTCTATCAGTCCATGCTCCCTGTCCGTCAGGGCTTCCATTTTTAATCTACAGATTGATGACACGGGCATTAATAATAACCAAAGGAGATTCCTTTATACATGAGTGTGAAGATTATGAAACCATCTCCTAATGCTTTCATTTACCTTCATCCTATTCATTAGTCAGGCCCTCTAGTCTATTTAACAATATAAACAAAAGTACAAGGTAAATGAAAACCTGTGATTAAACCATTACAACTTATGATACAAACGAATTGAATAATATCTTTAATAAAGAGTTATTACAAACTAATAAAAAATAAATGGGCATAAAACATGGAACTTACAGAAAAAAGCACCAAAAGTAACTAAAGTATTCAACCTGTTTTATAATTTTAAAAATAAAAATGAAAATATAAGCTATTAGTCCTGATCCCATAGCTCAGTTGATTAGAGCGTCATCCCAATATGCTAATGTTTTGGCTTTGATGCCTGGTCAGAGCACATACAAGAAGCAACCAATGAATGCATAAGTAAATGGAACAACAAATCTCTCTCTCCCTTTTTATGTCCCTCCCTTAAAAAACAAACAAACAATTTTTCTCATCTTTTAAACTGGCAAAGACCTTTTAAAATACGACCCAGCAGAAATTGGTTTGGCTCAGTGGATAGAGCATTGGCCTGCGGACGGAAGGGTCCCAGGTTCGATTCCAGTCAAGGCATGTACCTTGGTTGCGGGCACATCCCCAGTGGGGGGCGTGCAAGCGGCAGCTGAGTCGATGTTTCTCTCATTGATGTTTCTAACTATCTGTCCCTCTCTCTGAAAAATCAGTAAAATTTATCTTAAAAAAATAAAATAAGATGACCCAGTGGTGGCAAGAGTTAGGAGAAAAGAAAATGCTAATACACTGTAAAAGGACATAAAATTGTCAACATGTTCTTGGAAGCAATCTGGCAATATTGAGCAAAGGACTCAGAAAGATGTATATTGGGTGATTCAGCTATTTCATCCTCTATAAATAGTATTTCATGTGCATGATGATTTAGCTATAATAAAGGCTGTGATAAAAGTAGGAAGTAAGCTAAATGTAGAAAAATAAGGTGCAGGTGAATTATAGGAAATTATGCAGCTACTAAAATATGAAGCTAAATATAAATATTTAACATCAATATGAATCAAAGATAATGTTAAATGTCATCATCAATGAAAGATAACAGTACTAGGCACTGTAATAAGTAGCATTGACAAAGTCAGATAAAGTACATAAACCATTAACAATGATTAACTCTTTTTAATTCTTTTAAATGCCTATGCGCAGCCCTGGCTTGGTGGCTCAGTTTGTTGGAGTGTCTTCCCGTACACCAAAAGGTTATCCACAGCTGAGGTCGTATGGGAGGCAACAGATCAATGCTTCTCTCTCTCCCTCTGTCTCTGTCTCTACTTTTCTCTCTCTCTCTCTATATATATCCTTCTCTTTCTCTCTTCCTGTCTCTCTAAAATCAATAAAACATATCCTTGGTGAGGATTAAAATGAATAAACAAACAAATGCTGCCGAAACAGTTTTGGCTCAGTGGATGAAGCATCTGTCTGCGGACTGAAAGGTCCCAGGTTTGATTCCGGTCAAGGACATGTACATTGGTTATGGGCACATTCCTGGTGGAGGGTGTGCAGGAGGCAGCCGATCAATGTTTCTCTCTCATCGATGTTTCTAGCTCTCTATCCCTCTCCCTTCCTCTCTGTAGAAAAATCAATAAAATACATATTTTTTAAAAATAAACAAATTCTTGGGTGTATAATCTGACCTTACAAATAAGCTAAGAAATTAACTAAAAATATTGTGTTAATCACTGATATTAGCACAGAAACAATTTTTCAATAAAATGAATGGTTTATGGCTCTATAGTATCTGTATTTATCAATTGTTTGAATTTTCTATGATAAGTAAATAAAAGATAGTGCTTGGTCATTGTAGGCTTCAAACATAGGCAAGAAAATCTCTTGATAGGAAAACTGAAAAGGTGTTTCCAGATATGTAAAATTTGTTCAACTAGATGATTTCAAAGATTCTCTGCCTTTGTGATACCATGATTCTATTTAGTCTGATATTCCATTGTAAGCTGGTGAAAACACACTTTTGTATGTAATGAAATGTTGGTCTACAATGCAATCATGGTCTTTAATCACTGGGCCCAAAATGTATTTCTTGAATTTTACAGATAACATTTATTGATTGTACACTGGAAAAATAACATATTCAGTGGACATTTCAGTAACAGTTCTTTGAAAATTAAAATCATCAGCTTACCTTCCAAAGTGTCGATTCAGAGGAAGCCTTCCAATATCTTGGATAAAAGAAATCTGAGCTGAAACAGAGATTTTAAAAAAGCTTTTAATAGACATTTCTCCAAAGATATTTAAGTGGCCAATAAACAAAGGAAAAGATGCTCAGTCATTAATCTTTAGGAAAATGTAAATCAAAACCACTAGATACCATTTTATATTCCATACGGAATTTTTAAAAAAGAACACAAAAAGATTTGGCAAGAATGTAGAGAAACTGGAATCCTTTTGCACTGCTGCTGGGAGTATAAAATGGTGTAGCAGTCAGCGTTTCCCAAACTTTGACATATGTGTACCCTTTCTATAATTTTCGTAATGCTGAGTACCCCTCGTACTTATGAGAACGTAGAATTAGGCGCAGCTAAGCACAGTGCAATGCATATCCCCACCAAACTCTTCCCGTACCCCTGGGGGTACGCGTACCACACTTTGGGAAACACGAGAAGGCAAGTTCCTAAAAAAATTAAAAACAGCATTACTATATGATCTCACAATTCTACTTCTGGGTATACATCAAAAGAACTAAAAGTAGAATTTTTAAAAAGTTATTTGTATACCCTTGTTTATATAGCAGCACTATTCACAGTAGCCAAAGGTCAGAAGCACCTTAAGTGTACAGATGAATGGATAAACAAAATGTGGTAAATTAGTGTTTAATATGTATAGTTTCAATTTTGCAACATGACAAATTCTGGAGATTGGCTGCCCAATACGGGGAATATGCTTAACACAACTTAACTGTATACTTAAAAATGGTTTAAGATGGTAAATTTTGTTATGAGGAAATATTTGCTCAAGAAAATCTGCCTGGCCGAAACTGGTTTGGCTCAGTGGTAGAGTGTCAGTCTGCGGACTGAAAGGTCCCAGGTTTGATTCCAGTCAAGGGCATGTACATTGGTTGCGGGTACATCCCCAGTAGGGGGTGCGCAAGAGACAGCTGGTCGATGTTTCTCTCTCATCGACGTTTCTAGCTCTCTATCCTTCTCCCCTCCTCTCTGTAGAAAAATCAATAAAATATATTAAAAAAGAAAAAAGAAAATCTGCCTGGCCGGCATAGCTCAGTGGTTGAGCACCAACCTATGAACCAGGAAGCCACAATTCGATTCCTGGTCAGGGCTCATAACCGGGTTGGGGTTCAATCCCCAGTGTGGGGTGTGCAGGAGGCAGCTGATCTATGATTCTCTCTCTCCACTGATGTTTCTATTTCTCTCTCCCTTTCCCTTCTTCTCTGAAATTTAAAAAAAAAAAAAAAAGCACCAACCCTCTAATTATGTGTTTCTGGTATGGCCAACAAAACAAAACAAAAAAGAAAATCTAACAAAGAGTCTGCAGCATTTGAACTAAGACCTGCTTCCTCTCTTCCTCATCTTTAGGGAAACTTCATTCCAGTTGGGTGCAGCCAAGAACATAGGGCTCCCTCCTGGTGAGTGTGGTCAGCCCCATCCACAAGATGGGAACTCTACTCCACGCCAAGCCAATCGGAGACTACCTCCAGTAGAATACCCACCAGGATAGCGGTCAGGAATTTGCCCAGGGGGAAATGGCATTCCATATGAAGGGAGAGCTCAGAAGCTCTGCCCAAAGGAACTGACTTTATTTAAGAGTGTGGGAAAGTTCAAGCTTAAGAGACATCTTAAAATAAATGCCTCCTCTTAATCAAGAGCAACAAGTTAAACATAAGTCAGCTACTTCACCTGAAAGAACCAGAGAAAGGGAGGAAACAAGAGCCCTCTTGGGGTCAGAACACACATGAGATACCATGCCTCAAAGTCTACACCTGCCCAATTTAATTCTATCAGACTGGAATAATTCATGTCACTGGAACTGTGAAACTGATAAACCAAACTGATAGCTAGTAATAAGTAGAGGGTGATAGGTTGGTTTGATGTCGAACAAGGCAGACAGTTTAACCAAGAAATAAAGCAAGGAGAAATAAAATCAAAATGAGCCCTGCTAAAACCACTGTCATCACAGGAAGACTGTGGGCATGCCCAGAATTATTTCATTAAAATAGTTTAGCCAAGCTGGGATCGGTTTGGCACAGTGGATAGAGCATTGGCCTGCGGACTGAAAGGTCCCGGGTTCGATTCCAGTTAAAGGCATGTACCTTGGCTGCGGGCACATCTCCAGTAGGGGGTGTGCAAGAGGCAGCTGATCGATGATCCTCTCTCATCGATGTTTCTTTTTCTTTTTTTTAAAATATATTTTTATTGATTTTGTACAGAAAGGAAGGGAGAGAGATAGAGAGTTAGAAACATCGATGAGAGAGTGTCATCGATCAGGTGCCTCTTGCACACCCCCTACTGGAGATATGCCCGCAACCAAGGTACATGCCCTTGACCGGAATTGAACCCGGGACCCTTCAGTCCCCAAGCCGACGCTCTATCCATTGAGCCAAACCGGTTTTGGCATCTCATCGATGTTTCTAACTCTCTAACCCTCTCTCTTCCTCCCTGTGAAAAATCAATAAAATATATTTTAAAAAAATAGTTTAGCCAAGTTGGTAAACAAATAAGCAACAACAAAAACAAACCCAGAAGATGAAGGGAAACCTGTTTCCAGAACTGCTACAATGTATTACCTAAAACATTGAGACTACGCAAAGAAACAAGAAAGTATGTACAGGAAAAGAGGTAAGCAATAGAAACTGAGAGGGCCCAGAATTAAATTTAATAGAAAAAGACTTCAAAAAGCCATTACAAATATGTTCAAAGAACAAAAGGAAACCTGTTAAATAAGCAAAGGGAGAGGGAAAGCAGACAAAGGCTAGTGGGCATGAATGGTGATGGAAAGAGACTTCACCTGGGGTGGTGCACACACAATACAATATACAGGTGATGTATTATAGAACTGTACAACTGAAACCTATATAATTTAATTAACCGATGTCACCCCTATAAATTTAATAAAAATTTCTTAAAAAGTCTCAGAGGGAATGCAAGGGTGAGAGAGTGGGTAAAGGTTAAAGAACGAACTTATATTCATATATGCATAACCCATGGACATGAACAATAGGGTGGTGAAGGTCTGGATTGGGGGTGGGATCTGAGTGGAGGAGGGCAATGGGGGGAAAATAGGGGGAAAATCTGTAACACTCTCAACAATAAAGATTTAAAAATAATAAATTAAAAAATAAATAAAGGGGAAAAACTTAATCTCAGTATTATATAGCAACTAGAGGTCCAGTACACGAATTTGTGCACCAGTGGGGTGCTCTCTGACATCCTCCTAGGGGTCCTCCTGGATTGCGAGAGGGCGCAGGCCAGGCCGAGGGACCCCACCAGTGCATGATCAGGGCCAGGGAGGGACAACAGGAGGGCCCTTCTTGCCCAGTTCCAATTGGGGCCAACTGGGCTCCAAGGCATGTCTGGCCTGTTTCTGCCCAGTGCTGATCAGCATGACCCCAGGAGCAATTTAATCTACTGGTTGAAGTGTCTGCCCCCTGGTGGTCAGTGCACATAATAACAACCAGAAGTTTTGCCATTTGGTCGATTTGCAGATTAGCCTTTTATTATACAGAATGAGTTGACCTACAAAAACAATAATGTTATAAAACACTACTTCTTAGGGAAAATAAACCATATTATTACCTTGATTTCTCATTGGAATGGTTAGCAAAGCGAGATATGGTAACAGCTGAGTTTGGAGGCATAAAGCTGGTAAGCAGAAGTCAGAAAAAAGTGCTTTTGCTGCCAGGCAATTTTCCCGATACTGTATGGAAAATAAAATAAAAAAGTGAAAGAAAAAAAAAAGTATTCCTAGACACACTAAGTTTATTATATTACAAAAGTGTGTAGGCTTATATGCTACAAATATACTTTTATCTAATGAGTTGTTTAAAATGATTCTAGCATTATTTAATACAACATTTTACCAACACAACAATTTTACATTTGACATTACAGCAATAAAAAATATTTTATGCCAGACAAGTATGGGTCAGTGGTTGAGTGTCAACCTATGAACCAGGAGGTCAAGGTTAGATTCTCAGTCAGGGCACATGACTGGGTTGCAGGCTTGATTCCAGTAGGAAGCTAATCAATGATTCTTTCTCATCATTGATGTTTCTCTCTCCCTCTCCCTCTCCCTTCCTTTCTGAAATCAATAACATACATTTAAAAGAAAGCAATACTGATTTAAAAAATACTTAAGGTAGAATGAAAAATACACTTAAAAATAAAAAGAACTGTTTATGGCCCCGCTGGCCTCGCTCAGTGGTTGGGCATCAGCCTATGAACCAGGAGGTCACAGTTTGATTCCCGGCCAGGGCACATGCCCAGGTTGCCAGCTCGATCCCCAGTATGGGGTGTGGAGGAAGCAGCTGATCAATGTTTCTCTGATCATTGATGTTTTTATCTTTCTTTCTCTCCCTACCTCTCAATAAAAATATATTAAGGGGACCCTTTCCCCTCCCTACATTGTTCTTCAATAAATCTCCACCTTTGCTATACTAAAATACACACACACACACAAACACACACACACACATACACGTAATCACATGCCATAAAGTTCACCTACGGAAAGTGTATAATTCCTTTATTTTTATTTTTTTACCTTTTTATTTATTAAAAACCATTGGGGTTTGTGCAATGGCCGAAAACTTGATCCTCCTCCTTGGCAATGAGCAAATCCTCGGGCCTTGTTGGAATGCATCACACCTCTTGTAGCTATTGACGTACTATATTCCCTGAGTAAAGAGCGTGTCTAAAAAAGAAAAGATGTGACATAAAGAAAACATGAGTTTTATAAAATAGTGCTAATGGTATTTCTGACACCAAAAAAGGATTAACCATACTTAGCCTTTTCTACATCACTGTAGGCCTAAAAATAATATGCTACAAGATTACTTAAAACAAATCCAACTAAGAAACAACATTCAAATGCTATGTGTAAACTCTGATTGGATCTTGGATGAGAGTGGGAAAAATGACTTTAAATACATTTTTGAAACAATAGGGAAATCAAAATAAGGACAGTAGGTTAATTTTCTTAGATAGGAGGCTGTTATGCTTGTAACAGAGTAATGTTATTATGGATGCTTAAGTATTAAGAGTCATGATGTTTGTAATTACTTTCCAATTATTTAGTTAAAATAAGTCTGTAAATACACAGAGATTAAACAAATGTAGCAAAATGTGAAAAACTGGTAAGCAACAGTTAGTTATACAGATACTCACTGTACTATTCTTTTTTTTTAAATTTAATATACTTGATTTTTTACAGAGAGGAAGGGAGAGGGATAGAGTTATAAATATCGATGAGAGAGAAACATTGTTCAGTTGCCTCCTGCACACCTCCTACTGGGGATGTGCTCGAAACTAAGGTACATGCCCTTGACTGGAATCAAACCTGGGACCTTTCAGTCTGCAGGCTGACGCTGTATCCACTAAGCTAAACTGGTTAGGGCTGTACTATTCTTTTAATTTGTCTATAAATTGGGAAATTTTAAAATAAAAAAGTATAAAAAAATTAAGCAAATACAATTGCTGAATAATGAAACTCTAAATATGATACACTATATCAAAATGTTTTTATCTTTCCTAGTTTTATTTATTTTTTATTTTTTATATATTTTATTGATTTTTTTTACAGAGAGGAAGAGAGAGGGATAGAGAGTTAGAAACATCGATGAGAGAGAATCATCGATCAGCTGCCTCCTGCATACCCCCTACTGGGGATGTGCCCGCAACCAATGTACATGCCCTTGAACGGAATCGAACCTGGGACCCTTCAGCCCGCAGACCGACACTCTATCACTGAGCCAAACCGGCTTCGGCATCTTTCTTAGTTTTATTAATGCTATTTCAAGATTTATAATACAGAAATATTAACATATCAAAAGTGTTAACCAATGGGACTTTCTATGATAAATGTGACTAGTGTGACTAAGGAACTGAATTTTCATTTAATTTAATTGCTGGATGTGGCTAGTGGCTACTAGCTTGGTCATTTGTTAATATGTTAAGAAAGCCCAGACAGTGTGGTTCAGTGGTTGAGCATTCAATTCCCAGGTTGCGGGCTCGATCCCCAGCGTGGGGCATGCCAATCAACTGTTCTCTCTCATCATGGATGTTTGTTTTCTCTCCCTCTCCTTTCCTCTTTGAAATCAATAAAGATATATTTTTTAAAAAGTACAAATTTTATAGTGAATAATTTCAATTTGTATAGAAAGTAGTAGTTATTCTCTTTCTATCTACTTTTCAATGGCTGTCAAAGTTTCTGATTAATTTTATAATCAGAAAACAATTTTAGAAAAAATTAATGTTATTTTATCACCAGGAAAATCAAGTGAACTGCTGAAGCTTCATTACAAACACTGAATTGGATGAAATAATTTTCTCATAGCTATTAAGAAGTTATATAAGTCATGTCAAGTAATTAAGAATAAAAATAAAAAATTTTCCCACAATTCTGATAAGTAATAAAAAACAAAAACATTTAAGTCAAATGGTCTTACATTCCAGTCACCACTGATGATATCTGCAAAACTCAGAAATTCACTGGCTCTCACAAGATCATCTACTTCCATGAAGAAATCTACGTAGTTTTGGTGAAGATATAAATTAAATAAATCTCCTGGCATGTGTGACATTTCTACTACTTCCTATAATAAAAACAAAACAAAACAAAACAAATACATAATTTTGGTAAAAATGCTGTGGTCAAATGTATATGTCCACAGATGTAAATATTATATGTCTTGTAAGTAGTACGTAGTGTTAAAGATTTTATACTTTACCTCAGGATGAACAAGTAATGTATCCCGTTCATACTCTGATAAATGGGAGGGCAATCGAGGAGAGTCTATTTCTGTTACAGATGCTCCTATAAAAAATTTCCAGATCAAAAACATCTTTATAATTATATAGCACCTCTCATTTGAAAAGTTTTTCAACACTTTAGGAACATAAATGCAAAAATACTAAACTGTTAAAAATAACTGGAAGTTTATGTGAGTTGCCTTGCTATTAAGAAAAATGTAGAATTCTGATGTCTGGATTATGGCATTTCTAGAATTAAAGCACTCCACATTTCACCTTTCCAGCTCTAAGTTGCTTTCTTCTTTTTATTCTTATCTCAATTCAGAGGCCTTTACAGCTTATTTATTATCTGGCGGATGATATTCTCTGCAGGAGAGAAGAAGAAACCCAATTCCCTAATACCGAAGGTTATAAAAGAGTGTAGGAGGAAAAGGGTGGAAAGAAAGGAATCAGTGAATGGCCACTAAGCTCCAGAGGTCAGGGGAGCCAGAGACAGAGTGTCCTCATTTCCACCCAAGTGATGCCTGTTTCATTTTCCTCAGGTGGCACGAAGATTTCCATTTAGAAATCTCAATTTTTGATAAGAATGATAGACACAAAGCAGGTGTAAAAGGCATTCACAGAGTTTTTTAGGAAGATGAAAAAACAGTAGTTTGAAACAACTGGGTTTTTGACAACCAGAAAACAGTCTCAAATAGTAATGGGCATGAGAGTATTAGGTTTCAGTGAATTATTTGTATCATTTTACAATCCACGGTTATTTGCAGCTATTTTACAAGAGATTTGGACAACTGAGAGAATGTTGAGGATACTGTACAAATAAGACTTTTTTATTGCTTATCATGAATTATTATTTAATATATTTTATTGTTTTTTTTACAGAGAGGGAAAGGGATAGAGAGCTAGAAACATCGATGAGAGAAAAACATCAATCAGCTGCCTCTACACATCCCCTACTGGGGATGTGCCCGCAACCAAGGTACATGCCCTTGACCAGAATCGAACATGGGAACCTTCAGTCTGCAGGCCAACGTTCTATCCACTGAGCCAAACTGGTTAGGGCATCATGAATTATTTTTTGTTATAACATATAAAACTATTCTGAACTATAGCAATGAGTTTTTCCTCTAAAACTCTGTGTAAACTATTTTCTATAAAAATTGCACCAGGTCAGTTTAATAAAAAAGAAGAAATCTCCCCTGGCAGGTGCGGCTCAGTTGGTTGAGTGTCATCCCGTGCACCGAGAGGCCACTGGTTCTATTCCCTGTCATGGCATAGGTCCAGATTGCAGACTCGATTCCTAGTGGGAGGCATGCAAGAGGTGGTTGATAGGTGTTTCTGTCTCTCTCTCTCTCTCTCTTCCTTGACCCTCCCTCTCTCTCTAAAATCGATACAGCCCGACTACAGTGGCTCAGTGCTTGAATGCTGACCTATGAACCAGGAAGTCACAGTTCGATTCTTGGTCAGGGCACAATACCCAGGTTATGGGATTGATCCCCAGGGGTCATGCAGAAGGCAGCCAATCAATGATTCTCTCTCATCATTGATGTTTCTCTCTCTCTCTCTCTCCCTCTCTCCCTTCATCTCTGAAATCAATATAAAATATATTTAAAATCAATACAAACATTAAAAAAGAAAAAGAAATCTCCATTTTCTTCCTTCAGGATAAGACGGAAAACTGATATTTTCCACGTAAAGAATAGGAGTTTGGGATTTTATTGAAAGAAGAGACAATTTGGGAGCTTAGAGATAGGAAATGGAGGAGAAGAGGCTGAGGAGAAGCAGTCATTAAAGCCAGAAGAGGGTAAAGAATTATTTTGGGGAGGAAATGAAGAACATTTCTGGTTGGGGACAGAGCTTCTAGTGAAGGGAACAGAGAAATGCAAGAGAATCCAAAGAAACCTGAAGCTACCTAGCAATCTGCTTAGGGCCTTAATGGTAAGAAGACTTGGGCGACAAACACTTAACACTAAACGTTTAGGTGGATTGATGCCTAATAATTTTAAAGACTTACGGATATTGATATGGCCTAGAGTACTTCATTTTTTGGTTTAATCCCACTCATATTCCAAAAATACTCTATCCGGGTAAATACATTTTCCTGTGTAGGCCTTGCCAAACAGCATCCGACCTAGCTCTAACTCTTTGTTATAAAAGAAACAAATACGTGATATTTAAAAATTTTTGGTATTTTACTTCAGTTGTAAGAATATCTAACAAACTTTAAAAAAATGTATAAGTTTTCTTACTTTTGCAATATAGTATTTTCCCCAGAGCTCTGAAGAGAAAGAGAGAAACATCTTTTCCACCAATAGCTTGGACCTCTTGATTTTCAAAAACCTTATCAGATTTTTTTCTTCGTCTTGATTTTGACATCATAGCATCTGATTTTAATGAAGACATTCCTTTTTTCCTTGGGCATAAATTGTTCCTTCCTAAATAATATACACCCAAGTGTCAATATTTAAAATAAAATTAAAATATGCAAGCTAAAACTGAGAACACTTCAGATATAGTTATACTAAGTATTCTAATTTAAAAATATTTTCTAATAAACAATAATTATAAAATATCTGAACTGAGTCAGAGTCCTCTTTGAGTTACTAAACTATTAAAACAGAGTAAATGTCACCTAAAAGCACTTCATGACACATTTCAAATTTTCACATATACAAATGAGACATTCTTTTTTTATTTTTATTTTTTATTTTATTGATTTTTCAGAGAGGAAGAGAGAGGGATAGAGAGCTAGAAACATCAATGAGAGAGAATCATCGATCAGCTGCCTCCTGCACACCCCCCATTGGGGATGTGCCCGCAACCCAGGTACATGCCCTTGCCCGGAATCGAACCCGGGACCTTTCAGTTCGCAGGCCAATGCTCTATCCACTGAGCCAAACCGGTCCCGGCTCAAATGAGACATTCTTTAATACAGTCATACCCATATGACCTTGATTTCTCAGTGTTTTGTGCAAGATACTATTCTTGGTACATAATATGTATTAACTAATTTAATCCTCATAAAAACCTTGTTAAGAAAGAACTATTATTAGGAAAAGAACTACTACGGTATTTGGAAAAGAACTATTATTATACAGGTTAAAAAAATGAGGTATAGCCAAAACCGGTTTGGCTCAATGGATAGAGCGTTGGCCTGCAGACTGAAAGGTCCCAGGTTCGATTCCGGTCAAGGGCATGTACCTTGATTGCGGGCTCATCCCTCATAGTGGGTATGCAGGAGGCAGCTGGTCGATGTCTCTCTCTCATTGATGTTTCTGGCTCTCTATCCCTCTCCCTTCCTCTCTGTAAAAAATAAATAAATATATTAAAAAAAAAAAAGAAAAAAAAGAATGAGGTATAAAGAAGTTAAGTAACTGGCTCAAGGTTATCATTTAGTAAGTGATTTGAATCCAGGCAGCCTGGTTCTACAGCCTATTCTTGATAACTAGTATTCTTTATTACCTCTAATGATGTGGACAGTCTCCAATTTTGAGTATGTTTGTGTTCAAATTTTATTGATAATTCTATTGTTTAAAACTCAAAATATATCATTTAAGAAAATCAGCTTGGAATAGTAGAAAGAACACAAGATATGGGTTTGAATACTAATACTGTTTCTTTCATTAGGTTGATATGAGAATTAAATTAAAAAACATATAATTGCTAATACAGTTCCTGATCTATTAAAAAAAACTTTTATTTTCTTCCCTTTACAATTTCTGAGCCCAGAGCAATAATGTTAAAAATGGTAGTTTGGACCCAAAGTGGCCCACTTCAATCATTCTAACACATAATTTCGGTAGTGAACCTAAAGATCATTTACCTTTAAGTTTCTACAGAAAGCAGAATTGTTTTCAGTTGTGTCAGGTTGCCTAGTTCTCTACAGTTATTTTGTAAAACAATGTAAACCAGATGAACATGTTACACTTATGGGTAGAAATTAGTATTTCAGGTGGATTTTGAGAGCTCCAAGATTGCTTTTAATTTTTTAAGGTCGTTTCTGAATAGTAAGTATCAACATTTGTTCAATGTTTTCTGATGAAGACTGTGTTCAGTGAACTATGACTACTGGAGTAAAAATGCAACTCATTGTGGGGCTATCTAATATCATATGGCTGTACAACCCCCTTTTACATAACAGTAAAGGGAAACTAATTTGTTAAACATATCATATATAAATTATTATGAAAGAAGTTTAAAACTAAACCTACATGAGCACAATATAATTAAATTCATTAACAGCTGGCCATTTGAGCCCTTAGAATGTAGCAAGCACTGCAATAAATACAAGTATTACTTCGCTTACTCTTCACATAACGAGACTTTTTTTATATAAAAGATGAGAAAATAGAGGCACAGAAAGATTTAGTCACCTGTAAGATTATCACTGCTAAGTGGCAGAGCCAAGGTTTTCACCCAGGAAGTCAAATTAACTTTCAAAGGTAAAGTAGCAAACTGCATAAATGAATCAGGTTTTGTCTCAGATGTACAGATACATATGGTGTCATATTCATAGGGGTCTGTGTATACACATATATTATGACATCGACTCAATAAAAAAATAGTAAGTTGAAACAGGCATATATCAATTATAAGTTAAAATGTTTAGTTTGATTTCATTTCATGAACAACTAAGAGAGAGCAGTCACCTATACAATGCTGTAAGAATGTATCTTCCAGTTACCTTTTGAAGAAGAAAACTGGAGGCTGTTTATTGCACTTCTGATGTCACCAGAGCATCCTTGACAGAGCAACTCTAGAGAAGTTTTATCAGGGATGGTACTATTTCCTCCATTCTGAAATGAGAAAATTAAAAATTTTAAATGTCTTCCTAAATAAAATAAAACACATAAATAAAAAACTCCCCTATTAATTTAGTTATGCTCATATAAAGAATGTAGATTTTTTTTCAAGAAGGTATTAAAATATCACAAGTAATCCAAACATACAGAACTAATCACATTTAACATTTATATGTACTTTTGCTAGTATGTGTAGATTTATATATATGTGTTCATTTTGTTGTTACAGACAATTGCTTATTTTGTTTTGCACAGTAAAATTGGAGTCAGAACAAATTTCAAACCTGTCTGATACTTAACAATTGTGGAATATTATGTAAATTATTTGCCCCAAAGCTCAGTTTCCTTACATGTAAAGTAGGGATAATGTACCAATTTTATATGGTTATGACGAGGTTTAATAAGATCAGGTATGTAAATACTTTATATAGTGACTGACACATATAAAGAGCTGAAGATATTTTTACTTTCAGCATTATCATATAAGTTTGTATATTGTTATTTTCCCATGTCACTAAATTGTATTATCCCATGTCACTAAATATTCTCAAACTACTAATTAATGACATAATAGCTCAACTGTATAATTGCTTCATTATTGTTGGACTCAGTCTGTTCCTAATATTTCATTATTAGAAGTTGTTATTCAGTTAAGTGCTCTACACAAATACATTATTTTAACATTTAAAATAACCCCTTCCTTGGTGATTTCCTTCAATTCCTGTGATCCCAGCAGTGCAAAAATAAATAAATGTTTCATGTAAGATCTAGAACCATGCTGCTAGAGAAATTCCATCAATTTATTTTAACATCATGATGATTTAAACGACAGAAAAAAAATGATAAATTAAAAGTGACAGATGTTTCACAACCATGTTAATAATCCTAACACTATTCAACTGTATACTTAAAAATGGTTACAGTGGTATAGTTATAATACTATATTATATATTTAAAAATTGCTGAGAGTAGATCTTAAATGTTCTCACCACAAAAAAGAAGTAGAATAATATGATGTGATGAAGGTGTTAGGTAATGTTATGGTGGTAAACATTCTGCAATACGTAAGTATATCAAATCAACACACTGTATTCCTTAAACTTATGTGATATTATATCAATTATATCTCAATAAACCTGGAAAAAATATTTGTGATGGTAAATTTTATTATGTGTTTTTTACTGCAATAATAAAAAGTTGACAACAAACTAAAGTACAGTTGTACTATTGATGACTAATGTACCTAGATACCAATTAACAGTTTCTTGATTACAGACACCATTTAAAACACTAAAACAAAGGGAAACTGACCTAATGTGAAAGAGAAAGCTAAGTTTTAAAAGAAAAAGGTTAAGAATCTTTTAAATTAATATTTCTTATATTTCCCAAAATGACATGCCTTTTAAGTGTAATACTTCAACTCAAGTTTACATAATACCATTTAAGTTTGGTTTTATATAATTAGAATGTTAGATTCAAATTAATCAGTTCTTAAGAAACTTACCTTCTTAGCTTCTATTGTCACTATTCGGTTAAGAAATTTCATCATAATTGTTGGTGCCACAGGGTTGAAACTGTCAAAGTTTTATATAACAAGAAAATGGTTAAATGATTAATTTAAAATACAATGTGTATGTGAACATTTTAGACAGAAATTTAATTCTTACCTAATGTTTGAGATAGCACACTCTTCTTGAATTTCTTTGGGAAACAGTAACCTTTGATTATTATCTCCACTGAGACTGTCAGAGATTATAAATATTAGAGGACATCGACCAATCTGTACATATTTCCTAAAATAACAAAATACAGCAATGTTGAAATTTAAGCTACTTACCATTTAATTTGGAATTTTAGAAAACTTCACTGAAACTCACCTTAGAACTTCATGTAGAGTATGAGAATCTCGATAAAACTGGTTAGGCAAATCCTATTGGAAATACACAATAAATACTCGTTCAGTCTTATTCCCATGTAAATTGATGTTCAGATTTATATTTACAAAGATAGAAAAAAATGCTATCCATTCAACGTATTGTAGCCAGAACTTTTATAGAAAGGGAATATGAAATAGCTGATACCCTCAACTAACTCTCTATCAATGGGAAACCCAATTTTCACATTAAATTTTTAAAAATATATATATTTCTTTATTGATTTCAGAGAGGAAGGGAGGAGAGATAGAAACATCAATGATGAGAGAGAATCATTGATCGGCTGCCTCCTGCATGCCCCCACTGCGGACCAAGTCCGCAACCCAGGCATGTGCCCTTGGCCGGAATCGAACCCCGGACGCCTCAGTCCGCAAGCCGATGCTCTATACATTGAGCCAAGATGGCTAGGGCTACATTACATTTCTTAGGGTCATTACTAGTTATAGTATTTTCACAAAGACATCATTTTCCAAATATCAATTTTGCTTTTCTAGACTTCAGTCATTAAATTTTTACAGTCCACTCACCTATAGCTACTCTATTCAAGTTCACTAAACAGGTTTTTAAGTTTCTATTATCAAGTCTTTATATTTTACCACTATTAATACTACGAAGAGAGTTAGTCATTATCACATAAGATATATCTTGCAATTTTTTACTCTATAGCTACTGCAGATTTCAAAAGTTGAACTTACTTCAACCAGAATTATCTTCTTATCAGTTCTTAGATCATCTCCAAGCATTTGTAGTTTGTTATATTTTGTTGCTCTTAGTAGAAACTCTTTAAAAACTGTTATCTGAGACTGGTAGGGAAGTATATGGAAGCTTGATTCTGAAAGGAAACATATTTAACCCTTTTATTTTCAACAATTTATATATATACATCAACATTACACATATGTACATAATATATACATTAATGAGTACATTTACATATGCAAGAACAGCTCACAGTTCTATAGACTGTTTTCTAATTAGGCAAACCGTTCAAATTTAAGCTAAAATATTCATTTCAAAATCAGGAATTTTTTCACACCAGTGAATGTAATGTAGTCAACTGACTTCAGAACCTGTCATTCTATACAATTGGTAAAAATACTTATAACCTTGCCTATACAATGAAAACTCTCCAAATGAGTTTGTGACCACAAATAAAGTTTTTTCAATAATGAAGGTTTAACAACAAAAGCAGAATGACTATTTAATGAACTTGGGAATAAAAGCAAGTTCTCCAAAATCATGTTTCAAATAGAGCAGTGGTCGGCAAACTCATTTGTCAACAGAGCCAAATATCAACAGTTCAATGATTGAAATTTCTTTTGAGAGCCAAAGTTTTTAAACTTAAACTTCTTCTACCGCCACTTCTTCAGAATAGACTCGCCCAAGCCGTGGTATTTTGTGGAAGAGCCACACTCAAGGGGCCAAAGAGCCGCATGCGGCTCGCGAGCCACAATTTGCCAACCACAGATATAGAGCACTACTTATGAAGACTTACTAGATTTTCAAAAGTAACGTTCCTTGTTTAAAAAACAGTAAAAGTTTTAGGAATATGGGATGCTAGCAACATAAGGGTGTGTATAGTAAGCATACAGTAGTATGCACAGAGCATATTCCCAAAGAAGGTATTTTGAGGAATATTTCACATTAAAAAAAAAAAAAGTTCCTTCTACAGAACCCCTTTCACTTCAAAATGGCCTAGGAGATTTCGCTACGTCTAGTTTAGTATAGTAGCAATAAGAAAAACTATGAAAGTTAAAAATGATTGTGCTAGAGTATATAAACATACATGCAAATTTATTATGTACCACATCTTTCAATTGATATTATTATTTTTGGATGTTTGTCTAAAGGCCTCCTTCCCAATTCCAAAGATAGTCTTTTATTTATGCTTTGATTTGATTCTCACAGATATGATTTAAGTTCTCTCCTCTTGTTTGGAGCAAGTTCTTTTAATATATCTTTTTAAAAATATGTGTATTTTTATTGATTTCAGAGAGGAAGGGAAAGGGAGATAAAAACATCAATGATGCTGAAACCGGTTTGGCTAAGTGGATAGAGCATTGGCCTGCGGACTGAGGGTCCCAAGTTCGATTCTGGTCAGGGGCATGCACCTTGGTTGCAAGCACATCCCCAGTGGGGAGTGGCAGGAGGCAGCTGACTGTGTTTCTCTCATCGATGTTTCTAGCTCTCTCTCTCCCTTCTTCTCTATAAAAAAAAATCAATAAAATATATATTTTTTTAAAAACCATCAATGACGAGAGAGTATCATTGGTCAGCTGCCTCCTGCACGCCCCTTACTGGGTATTGAGCCCACAACCAAGAAAGAGGTCAGTTGGATTCCTAGTCAGGGCAGATGCCCAGTTGTGGGTGCAATCCCCAGTGTGGGGCATGTAGGAGCCAGCCGATCAATGATTCTCTCTCATCATTGATGTTTGTCTCTCTCTCCCTCCTCCTTCCTCTCTCAAATCAATAACAATATATAAAAAGAAATACATAAAAAGGAATCCCGTTCTCCTCTTTTTCATTCTTTCTTTTGAGATTATTTCTCTGTAAATAAGGAAGTATGGAAGAAAATACACTCATATAGTTTCATTTGATTGCTACTCTGACTTTGTAAAGCAGTTGGTAGTGGTTAGATGCCCATCTAAGAGAGGCAATATACACTTTGGTCTCAAAAACATAAACCAAAAAGGATCTCAGGAATCTTAAGGATATATATAGTTGGAAAGTTTGTTTCAAATATCTGTGTAGCACAGACTTTTCCCAGTACTTCCATTACCTTCACAGCAAACCTTACCATAATTAAATATCTCCTTGAAGTCATCTTTTTGGAAATCTGATAAAACTGGATTAATCCACTCTTGTACTTCGATACCAAGCTCCTTTGACAGTATTTTTATAGTTGTTGTTTTTCCACATCCAGGAGGCCCTGTTATTAATAAAATAGATCCACCCTAAAACCAAACACAAACATAAAGAATCAAATTCACTGAAATGCTAGAATATTATGTTTGAATTTTCTTTCTAAATATTAATTAATTCTGTAAGTATTTACTGACTGTCTAGCATAAGCAGACTACATTTCACAACAATGCTAGCTGGAATAAACCAGCTTTAGATAAAAGTTAAATTTATTTCTTGAACTTTAAGTGTAGCTTCTAGTAATGCTTCACTTTTTGCATTTATGCCTCTCCCAAGGACTACTTAGTAGCCAAATTGAAACAACTAAACTTCAACTAAATTAAGGAGGTAACATCTGAAACAAACATTTTTAGAGGTTACCTAAATTTACAAAATTCAATCTTAATACAGAACTCTTTGGAATATACTTAACTACTACACAAATACTAAATATTCTAATGGGAAGACCTCAGTTTGTACATCAGATTTTTAAAGAAATGTATACTAATAAACATATTTAGAAGACAGGACTCTAAAGAAAGAGATAATAAGTCCCAGAAATATTCCCTCATACAGTAAATCTGATTTAAAAAATCAGTTCCTTTAATTTTAAACTTTGAGATGAAGCAGTTAATTTTTCAACTTGCCTACAATAGAAACAGGTCCTCTTCTGAACCATGGTCTTTTCTATTTGGCTTTCCTATCTAAACCTTTGGTTTTGTGTTAAAATTACACAAAGAGCCTGGCCAAAGTGACTCAGTGGTTGAGCATCAAACTTGGTCAGGGCACATGCTCGGGTTACAGGCTTAACACCCAGTGAGGGGAATGCAAGAGGCAGCTGATCATGTTTCTTTCATTGATGTTTCTCTGTTTCTATTCTTCTTTCTCTCTCTCTAAAAATCAATAAAAACAATAAAACTAATAAAATAAAACCAATAAAGATAAAAAAGCAAACCCTCTGCAGAACCATACATATTTTCTGATATGATGCAATATAAAATAACACAACTTATAAAGTATTCTTACAAAACTTCAAATACATGTATTAATTTACCATCCTATTTTTATGTTTGAGGAATTTCTAGATTAGGAAAACGTAAAGAGAGAGAGAGAATATTCAGCTTGGTGGCTGAGAGTATTTGTGGTATTAGGAAGTGAAACAACAAACATCAGTATAAATGAATGATGACTGTTTTAGGCTATATTTAGTACCAAAACTAATATGTAATTTGCCTGCTTGCTTCAGGATGAGATAACCTTATGTGCTATATATATATTAGCACCTGAACTGGTTTACTATATGTTGATGACAGGACATAAGAGGGGGAAAAAGGTATAAGTACAGGGGAAAAGTCAGTCTCAAAATCTTTTAATGAGGCCAGAAGTAGTAAGGTCAGAAAGCTTTCTATAGCTAGTGATCTGGATTTATTTGAATAAATCATCATAAAAGTTTAACTTCTTAAAACCACCTATAAGACAGAGAGACATTTAGAGTTAATATTTAAAATATATTTTTTATTTAATTACCTGTTTTGATTGCCTTTCTAAGACTTCAGCTTTTAACCATGTTTCAACTTCTTCAATTTTCTTTTTGTGCACAGCAAGTTCATGCTAAAAATGTCAAGTTTAAAATAAAACATTTTAACTCAAGGATTTTTGGTACATCAGCACAGATTAATCTAAACATTTTAAAAGTAGCACACAACTAGCATGATATAGTAATAAAAAAAAGGCTGATTACACTTAATTTTTTCTATCATTATAAAAAAATCTGATCTTAACTGATACCATTATATAAAAATTTGGGGAATTTTGGAGTTATACAATTTTTAAAAATTCTATAATTCATTTTGGGAAGAGAATAAATAGGGAAGTATATTACATTTAGCATAACAAAACAACAACAAAAAACAAATAAATTCTATATTGGGGATAAATTTAATCTAAGACAAATAACCAATGGTACAACTTCAGAAAAACTTGGCAAAAAGCTGAACCTTGGGATATCTAAAAAACCTGAAAATCATTGTTTTTTTTCTAATTCATTTAGAAAGACTTTATGAGTAATAATCTGAAAATGCACATCCCTTTCCTTCCTGGAATAAAATTATGTTTGCATGCTATTTAGTACCTGAGTTTCTGGTTTGTATTTATCCACCCATGGTTCATTTTCAGACAGACTTTCTTTTGAATTTTCTAGGCCATATATCTGTTCTGAGGAAGACCGTGTTCCTCTTTTTCTAGTTGGAAATTTGCTGCTTTCTAATGTGGAAGGCACGTTTTTTCTTCTATGACTTGAGTTATTCACATTTACTGATATGGCAGTATTAGAGATGCTTCTATTCTCTGAAAAATCATCAAATGATGGATCTACCCAATCTGTTACCTGAAAAGAAATCATGTAAATACTATTATATTTTTTGCATCTATTCCCTATAATTGAACTACTCTGTAAAAAAAAAAATTGTATATTCATAACATATTTTAAAAAGCTCACAAATTAGCCATTTAAATAAAACTGATTCCATAAATATTTGTTATTTTTGTACTTTACTATAAGTGCAAATGCATAACTTGTCTACTTGACTATGGTAATGATGAATACTATATAAAGGAATACAAATACAAATTTAATTATTTTTATTAATGTAATCTTCCCAGGATAAAGAGTAGGCTGATTCTTTTAAAACTAATTCGTAGGACTGAAACCTAAATATTTAAATTATCTATCAAAAAGAAGCAAAACAAAACAGAGAAATAAAATTACTTGCCCTAGCTGGTTTTGCTCAGTGGATAGAGCGTCAGACTGTCGACTGAAAGGTCCCAAGTTTGATTCCAGTCAAAGGCATGTACCTTGGTTGTGGGCATATCCCCAGTAGGGGGTGTGCAGGAGGCAGCTAATCGATATTTCTAACTCTTTATCCCTCCCCCTTCCTCTCTGTAAAAAAATCAGTAAAAAATATATATTTTTTAAAAAGATAAATCAGGCCTGGCCTGTGTTGCTCAGTGGTGGAGCAGTGACCTATGAGCCAGGAGGTCACAGCTCAATTCCTGGGTCAGAGCACTTGCCCTGGTTTCGGGCTGGATCCCCAACTGGTGGAGTGCAGGAGGCAGCTGATCAAAGATTCTCATCATTGCCGGGACCAGTCTGGCTCAATGGATAGAGTGTCGGGTTGGGGACTTGGGTCCCGGGTTCGATTCCGGTCAGGGGCATGTACCTTGGTTGCGGGCATATCCCCAGTGGGGGGTGTGCAAGAGGCAGCTGATCGATGACTCTCTCTCATCAATGTTTTTAACTCTCTATCTCTCCCTTCCTCTCTGTACAAAATCAATAAAAAAAAAAAATATATATATATATATATATTTTTTTTTTAAAAAAGATTCTCATCATTGATGTTTCTCTCTCCCTTTCTGAAATGAATAAAAAAATATATTTTTTAAAAAAGATAAATCAGACCAAACACTAGGAAAATGGCTATTTTGTATATGAGTATCATATTGTCTGACCTTAATCTATTCTACCTCCTAACTTTGCTGAGAACTAGCTCACTGAACCATATGATTTCTAACACCAACTACAACTTACATAATTCTTTTCTTCTGCTCTTTCATTCTAGAATGGTTAGCCTTTTCTTTGTTACTAGTATTATAATATTTTTCCTTCAAAATTAAGGTTGTACTTTCAGTGTCCAGTTGTTTCACAGCTTACAATTAGACTTTTTAGATAACTAATTACAATGGATACTGAGCACCATTACATTGATAGCAGTAATAAATCACTGAGAACACGTACGAAAAATGTAATTATATCCAGGCAATTATTAACCATTTCAGTGTATCATACCTTTGTGGAAGATACTTTTCGTCTAAGAAAAGTTTTTGACATTATAGACTTTGATAGTTCCCATCCGTAGTGTACAACCGGTAGTACACTGAAGTATAATTCACCTAGGAGGAAAAAAGAAAGAAATTTCTCAAGACAGACAACTGTAAGAAAAGTAATATAGAATATATAATCAACAGGATAATAAAGTTAAAGCTCAAGACCAGTGAAAGAGAACACAGTATAAACATAGGTGAAGCAAGTATCAAAATGCTAAAATAAAATTTAATTTTAATGATTATAACCTGAGCCAAATAATCTATTTATGGTGTTATACGTGGAAAATACTTCATCCTAGCCAGGTAGCTCAGTTGTCACCATATGATAAGGTTGTGGGTTCTATCCCCTTCAGGGCACATACAAGAATCAACCAATGGACCTACTGGGGTGGCACGGTAGTTGAGCCTTGACCTAAGCACCAGGTCACTGTTGGATTCTCTATCAGGGCACATATCCTGGTTTCCAGATAAATCCTTAGTAGGGGGTTTGCAGGAGGCAGCCAATCTATGATTCTTTTTCATCATTGAGGTTTCTGTCTCTACCTCCCTCTCCCTTACTCTTTGTAATCAATAAAAGTATTTATTGAAAGAATCAACTAATGCATGCATACGTGAAATAAGTGGATATTTTTCTCCCTTCCTCTCTTTCTAAAAAAGAAAAAAAAATCAATAAAAGTATTTCATATGAACTCAATAATTTAAAGAATACAGAAAAATCATATATATGTGTACCTATTTTTTGTCATTAAGAAAAACTAGGCAATTTTATTTGTCCAGTTTTTATACAAAGTTTTTATACAGAAAATTAAAATTTCCCTCATTTTAGATTAGTTGCTTTTTACTACCAAAAATTAAAAAAATATATATCCTCCATTCAATACATTCAAACTTATCATTCACTTTAAAGACTTAAACCTAACTAAATTTTTCCTGTAAATTGTATTATTTATTTGAACGCATTAGGAAATTTTTTGGCAGCACCGTTTTCTGACTTTCAGAATTCTCCAATACTTGTACAAACTAGTAAATTCGCCAATTTTTAATTAGCCAGAAGGACAGTTTTTATAAAGGTCCATAAACTTATAAATTGGAAGGTATGTTGGACTCATAGCTGAAGACACAACGTGTGACTACTTCCCACACGTAAAAAAAAAACCACAAACCGTACACGTACACCCACAAGTCATTCACGATCAGAGAAGTTTTTGCTATGGAGTTTCAAAGAGGTACAAAGGTTGGGGGGGAAAAAACACCTATTTGAGTAAATACAGTAGTCAGGTGGCCATAAAAGGCGCAGACGGTCCCAGACGCCAGTTGTTTGGAAACAAGACTGACAATTACCTCCTTTCAGAAGCAGGTAACTGTCCCTGAGGACGCCACGTTCCTGCAATGAGACGTCAGAGGTAGAAGAGACCTTGGAGAATCTTTCTAGCAGACCCACCACCACCCTACCTACTGCTGCACGGGGGACAATGAGCTCGGACCGCTGAGCCACGGAACCGCCCCGGCTCCAGGCCGGCGGGCTGCACCCCCACCCCTCTGTCTCCCCCTGGGACCGGCAGGTCCGGAAGAGAGGCGCTGAGGACCCGGGGAGGCGTGCAGGCAGAGATGGACTCGCGTCTTTTAGGACATTCACACACCACAGCCGCAGCCGCGGCGGCCTTACTTGCCGGGAGCTGCATGCCCTCGTGGGCGGAGCGGAGCGGAGGAGCTCAGGCTCTACCCCCGGTGGAAGGGCAGCCGCCCGGCCCTACCAGGGCTCAGCGCCGAGCCCCTCCGAGGTCCCGCCTCCCGGGTCCTTCCACACCGCTCGGCGCTTCCGCGACGCAGCCTGAAGGGCGGGGGCCTCAGAGGAGGGCGAGACTTAGGCAACCAGAGCACTGCCTGTCTCCAATCACAGTCTCCCCTCCTATTTTCCTGCCTTGAATTCTGCGATGACAGCGTGTCATAAATGGCCAAGGAACCAACAGTCGGTGATGGGACGGCGGAGATGGGTCGCCAGCGCCGCGTAGGGTCTTGCTGTCTCCGGGGCCACAGGCGTTTGCCGCCGCCCGCCCGCCCCTTCCGGCTCCTCCCTGTTGTGCTTAGGGCCCTCGCGCCGAGGTTCCAGAGGCTTCGCGTCGAGGACCATGTTGCTTCCGAACATCCTGCTCACGGGTCAGGGCGCGCGCGGGGAGGGGCTGGCCGGCGGGCAGGCGGCGCCGAGCGCCTGGGGGTCCGGGCGGCCGAACGGGGAGCAGCTCGGTGTTCCGATTCGAGGCGGGTCGGGGGCCGCCCGGCGTGGCCGTTGTCGGGCCTCGCGACCTTTGCGGGGAGGAGGGGCCGGCGAACCTCACTCCTGGTGGCGCCAGGCTGCTCTGTGAGGCTGGAGAGAGGGAAACCAACCAGCTCCCCTTCCTGGCAAGCCGCCTGTTTTCCTGAAGCTGGTATTGGTGTGTAGAATGGATGTTGGTATTTTTGTTTTCCTGGGTTGGTTGCCTTTGGCTTGTAGCGAGATCCCGTCAGTCGCTCCGGTAGCGGCGGATGCCTAGTTCTTGGCCTTCCTGGGCGGTCTTTCCTTTTCCCTTTGTAGCGGAGAGGCAGCTTCCGGTAAGAGCTGGATGATGTTTGTGGCGCAGGGTGATTGATTTGCTATATCTATGGCTGCTGAGTTAACATCAACTCCCCCATCCTCCCTTTTTTTTTTCTTTTTTTTTTTTTCTTTTTCTTTGAAGAAAAGACATCTGAGCAGATATGGTTGTTTCTCGTAGGGGATGCGGTCACATTCCCGTAGGGTCCCTTCTGGGTCTTCGGATCCGTCCTCTCAGGGGCCTGTTGTATGTGAGGGGCACTGAAATGCCGCATGACGACTTTGGCTCAGTGTTTATTAAATTGGAGCCGTTACTTAGCACGATGGGGCATTCATGGGAAAGTCTATTGGTGTAGATAGCAAAATCCAGACGCTCTTTGCGGGAAGAAAGACATAAAGGTTTTACCTTTTAACAAAACCTTGTTGGCCACCCACACTTTTGTTCTGTTTCTGAGGCCAAATGAATGGTTAACCTTTAAGATTCTGTAAGGAGAAAATTGTACACCTGACTTGTTTGGGTCAGTGATCTGGTCTTTAATATTAAGCCATGTTGTCAAAAATCTGAATGTGAGCATCTTATTGCACACAGGGTGAGTCCAGGGTTCAAACGTGGTGTGTTATAGTGGACTTACGGTAAATGTTACTGTCTTGTGTATAGAGACTTGATTTATCTCTGTTATTTTGGATTATGATTGTTATTTCAGTGGCATTAAATCTGAAGTGCTGAAAATTATGCCTTTGATTATTTACCTTGAAATGCAATAGATATTAAACAAAATAATGACATTAAGTTGAGTTTTATTCTGGAAATTTCCTTGGTGGTGGCAGGCATTCTATAAATTGGTATCAAGAGCCGACCAAACCCTGTTTCTGATAAAATCAGATAAACCGGGTGAGGTTCTGTCATTAAACTGGCTTTGTGTATGTTACTCACATAGGATGGCTAATTACAAAACTTTTCATTCCAATTGTAAGAATATATTAATTAAGAGAGAAAAATACCGATTGTTGTTTCACTAATTTATGCATTCATTGGTTGATTCTTTTTATTTTATTTTATTGATTTTCCACATAGAGGAAGGGATAGGAATAGAGAGCTAGAAACATCGATGATAGAGAAACATCAACCAGCCGCCTCCTGCACACCCCCTACTGGGGATGTGCCCACAACCAATGTACATGCCCCTGACCGGAATCGAACCCAGGACCCCTCAGTCCGCAGACGGACGCTCTATCCACTGAGCCAAACCGGTTTCAGCATTGGTTGATTCTTGTATGTGCCCTCACCGAAGATCGAACCCAAAACCTTGGCATATATGGAACAATGCTCTAACTAATTGAGCTACCTGGCCAGGGCCTCAGTTGTTAAGAATATTAATAGGGGCTGATAGGTAGGTCAAATCTAATAAGTAATTCATGTACAACATTTTCTGTGGCTGTCTTACAGGTACACCAGGGGTTGGAAAAACCACACTAGGCAAAGAACTTGCAGCAAGATCTGGATTGAAATACGTTAATGTGGGTGATTTAGCTCAAGAAGGTAAGGGACATTTTGATGATAAGTTTGTTTTTAAAAATAGAGAAATAATAGAGTATTAGTACTGTACTGTACTGTGAGAGCATTCAAAAAGCAGAGAAAGATAGCCATTAAGGAACTTACATACTTTTTAAAATTGAAATTAAGTGTCTAAAGCTGTGTTTTGGTTATTTTGACTGTTACGTTGCCTCCCCCACAGTTGCCTGGCAATTCTTATAGATAGTAATAATTGAAGGGTCATGAAAAGATTGATTGGACTTAGGATAGGTAGAAACTGAATATGAGGAAGAATGTTTTTTATTTGTTTTTGTTTTTTTATATATTTTTAAAATTGATTTCAGAGAGCAAGTGAGAGGGAGAGAGAGAAATATCAATGATGAGAGAGAATCATTGATTAGCTGCCTCTTGCACATTCCTAACTGGGGAGCAAGCCCACAATCTGGGTGTGTGGCCTGACTGGGAATGGAACCATGATCTCCTGGTTCAAAGGTTGATGCTCAACAACTGATCCACACTGTCCGGGGGCTGAGGGAGAATGTTTTGAGATGGGTGAACACACAAAGGTTAGGGTGGTGGGTGCTAAGCATATCTGTGGAGTCAGTAATTATATTGATCTCACTGAAAGAAAAGATTATTCCGAACTCAAGCCGTAGGACATGACTGTCCTATGGTATTTTCTTATATTAACTTGATAGTTGCATGTCTGCATGAAACTGCACATACCCTAAAATGATACGTTTTTATTTATTTTACCCAGTTTCCCCTCAATCTTCGTTACGTTGTTATTCTGTCTTTAACTTTTTATATTCTGTAATGATTTGTACAGGTAGAAACTCAAATTCAAGTAAAGGGAACTTTAAGTGTGCCTCATTAAAATTAAAAATATTTAATATTTCACATATATCTTTAAAATATAAATATATTTTTAAACATATGACATTTTAAATTTTTTAAGTTCCTGACAGTTGCTACGTAAAGTAACTATTTCAGGTTTGATCTAATGTACATATTTTTTTCAAATGATCTAAAGTCTGATCACCGGATATCATGGAGTCTGGCAAGATGGCTTCTCCCAAGAGCATGCCGAAAGATGCACAGATGATGGCACAAATCCTGAAGGATATGGGGATTACAGAATATGAGCCAAGAGTTATAAATCAGATGTTGGAGTTTGCCTTCCGATATGTGACCACAATTCTAGATGATGCAAAAATTTATTCAAGCCATGCTAAGAAAGCTACTGTTGATGCAGATGATGTGCGATTGGCAATACAGTGTCGTGCTGACCAGTCTTTTACCTCTCCTCCCCCAAGAGATTTTTTATTAGATATTGCAAGGCAAAGAAATCAAACCCCATTGCCATTGATCAAGCCATATTCAGGTCCTAGATTGCCACCTGATAGATATTGCTTGACTGCTCCAAACTATAGACTTAAATCTTTACAAAAAAAGGCATCTACTTCTGCAGGAAGAATAACAGTTCCACGGTTAAGTGTTGGTTCAGTTACTAGTAGACCAAGTACTCCCACACTTGGCACACCAACCCCACAAACCATGTCAGTGTCAACTAAAGTAGGGACTCCAATGTCCCTCTCAGGGCAAAGGTTCACAGTGCAGATGCCCACTTCACAGTCCCCAGCTGTAAAGGCATCAATTCCTGCAACATCAGCTGTTCAGAATGTTCTGATTAATCCATCATTAATTGGGTCCAAAAACATTCTTATTACAACTAACATGGTGTCATCACAAAATGCAGCCAATGAATCAACAAATGCATTGAAAAGAAAACGTGAAGAAGATGATGATGATGATGACGATGATGATGACTATGATAATTTGTAATTTAGCCTTGATGCATGTAACATGTATACTTGGTTTTGGATCCATTGTTCTGAGATTAAACATGCATGCCAGATGTTTTCAAGTTGTGTTTTAGAAAACTTAGTATTTAATGAGAAAATATAGTTTTTAATTGAGATGTTGTATTTTCTTTACTAGAAATCGTAATGGTTTTTCATCAGCCTTTAAGAAATAAAGTTGTCATTCATTAATTTGGTTGTTGGTACTTTGGAAATTACATTTTTAGAAACAATTTTATTCCTCATTATCACCGACAGGAATAATAGCTCTAACAATTCAATTGTTGCAGTCTGTTGCCATTAGAATGTGATCTCTAGTGTCTTCAGATGTTTAAATCGTAGTATGATCTCCTGTATAAGTCATTTTTATGGGCCATTTTCTCAAATTACTGAAGTATAGCCATGTTTCTTTTTTGGAGAGAACACTTGGTCAGGATTTTTATTCATAGTGAATCCTCATCTGTTTGGAATTATTTTCATTTGCCCAAATTCTTCCTGGTCCTATTTTTCTATCCCTTTCGTTACATTTAAGGACCCTGGTGTGTCTTCCAGTATCTCTCCAGTTGATTTTTTTCCATTATCCCTTTTGCGGGTCAGTTCATTCTTGCTTACCATAGTCTTGATATAAGTGACTATCATGTTCATATATTTATTTTAATCCTCACCCAAGGAAATGCTTTTATTGATTTTAAAGGGAGAGAGAAACATCAATGTGAGAAGGAAACACTGATCAGCTGCCTCTCACATGTCCCCCGACCCGGGATCAAACCTGCAACCTGGGTATGTGCTCTGACTGGGAATTGAATCCAAAGTCCTTTGGCATACAGACCAATGCTCCAAACAACTAAGCCACACTGGCCAGGACTACCATGCTCATAAATATACTAGAGGCCCAGTGCATGAAAATTGTGCAGGGGTTGGGTTCCTAGGGCTGGCGGTTGCCAGCTGAGTACTCCTTCTACTCTGGTCAAATTCCCAGAAGAACTGGTGAAGGGGACAATTTGCATACTAAGCTTTTATTATATAGGATATTAAAAAATTTTTTTTATTGATTTCAAAGAGAAAGAAGAGGGAGATAGAAACATCAATGATGAAAAAGAATCATTGATTGGCTGCCTCCTGCATGCCATCTACAGGGGATCAAACCCACTACCCAGGCATATCCCCTTAACCAGGATCGAATCCAGGACCCTTCAGTCTGCAGGCTGACACTATCCACTGAGCCAAACCACCGGCTAGGGCCGTGTTCATATTTTTAATCCAGGTCTGGCATTTAAGTTAGTAAAATATTGGTCATTATTTTACTGTTGTATCTAGCTTTAAGTTTTCATTTTATACCTATATGAAATCTTGTTTCTTAGCCTGTTGAACTTTACAGTTTTTGACAAGTGATTTTAGAGTCATACTGTAGTCATTTTAAGTCATCCAGTTTGATCTCACCTCAATTTAACATTTCTAAACAATGAAGTTACTATATAACTGATCATTGCAACAAATAGTAACAGTGGATCACTGGATCCTCCTACTTGTTTCACATTATTTTAGCAAGTTGTGTACCCATCTAATGATGTATAGCGGATAGGGAATCTTTCTGCCAACGGCCATTTGGATATTTACAACATAATTTGCAGGCCGTTATCAACTTAAATATAAGCCTGCTAGCCAATCAGTGATTCTCATCACTGATGTTTCTATTTCTCCCTTTCCCTTCCTCTCTGAAATCAATAAAAAATACATTAAAAAAAACAACAACAACAACATTTCATTAACTCATCCTTAATGCCTTGGCAGGGCCAGATCAAATGATGTCTTGGGCTCTAAATGTTCCCCACCCATATAGTCTCAACCATTCTCTTAGTATTTTTATTGATGAGATAGAATTTAAGCTTAAAGGAAAAGTGTTTTCATCCTCATAGTGCCAAAGAAAAGGATTTCTCATCTGACTTGATAATGGTGTTGAATGAGGTGCTTTGTAAAGTTTCTCATAATGTACCAGATTTTTTTTCTCATGCCATTTGAATATTTCTGAGAATCTTTTAAAAAAAATGTTTTTATTGATTTTAGAGAGGGAGAAAGAAATATTGATGAAGAAATATCAATCAGCTGCCTACTGGGGATTGTTACCACACCTCCAGGCATATGTCCTGACCAGGAATTGAACCTCTTGTTGCATGAGATGATGCTCAATCCACTGATTCATACCAGCTGGACTGTATTTTATCCTATATAATAAAAGCATAATATGCTAAGTGTCTGGTTGGCCATTCAACCAATCATAGCATAATATGCTAATGATATGCTAAGGCCGCTCAACAGCTCACTATGATGTCCACTGACCACACCAGGAGGCAGATGCTCTTGACTGGTAGGTTAGCCTGCTGCTGGGGTCAGCTGATTGGGACTGAGCCAGACGTGCCCTGGAGCCCTCCTGTGGTGTCCCTCCCTGGCTGGCCAACCTCCTGCTTCTCTCCCTAGCCCCAATCATGCACTTGTGGGTCCCTCAGCCGGGCCTACACCCTCTCACAATCCAGAACCCCTCTGAGGATGTTGGAGAGCTGGTTTCGGCCTTAACCCACAGGCCAGGCCAAGGGACCCTCCACTGGTGCACGAATTCGTTCACCAGGCCTCTAATTAGAAAATATTTTTAGATACCCAGTCTCATATTTTTCAAATGGTGATATGTTTTAAGGAAAACAACGCCATCTATAAAGCCATGTGGCTCTCAGCTGGGGGTGATTTTGCCCTTCAGGGAACGGGGGTTGAGGGAGTTGCTAGTTGACATCTAATGGGTAAAGGGCAATGATTCTGCTAAACATTCCACAGTTCATCTGATGTGTGCAATTCCTCTGATTGGGAATCCATTTATGTGGAGGGCTGGTTAGTTATACATGGATTTTTTTTTGTGTGTGTGAGGTTAATCCTCCTAATTCCTGCATTGTTCAAGGATCAACTGTAAGAGACCATCTTTATGCCATTTGGAATCCAGGCAGGAAAAATTAGTTGGGAAATTAAGGTTAATAAAACTATTGTGTGGCTAAGAATGATTTTCTTATCTCTGTTCTTTCAGTCCCTCAGATTCCTCTTTGATATCTTTCCCATGTAACAATCAATTACATTTACCATCATCCTTAATTTTCTTGCCACCAGTTTATCAGTCTGAAGCCTCTGTTCCTAACCCCAGGATGTCTGTAGGTCCAAAGTAATGTTATATTGACATTGGGTTCATTTCAATTAGAGATTGTAAAGCATAGCTGGGCCCTCAACTCTTAGAATCTACTGATGGCAAACTGCTGCTGTTTTTATAGAAATCACTAGCTAAAGATAAGCTCACAAAGCCTGCAGTATGTCTTGCCTTTTCTAGAAGTTTGTCATCCTCCCTCTGAGCTCTTATGTGTTCCATCTTTTCCCTCTACTGGAAGCCTTTTAAAATAACTTCATTGGCCTTTCCAATACTGTTCTCTCTCAATTTTTGTGCCTGATTCTCTCCCTCCCACCATATATATATACTTCTTTCCCTGGTGATTTCACTGCAGCCATCTTTTTTTTTTTTTTTAATATATTTTATTGATTTTTCACAGAGAGGAAGAGAGAGGGATAGAGAATTAGAAACATCGATGAGAGAGAAACATCGATCAGCTGCCTCTTGCACACCCCCTACTGGGGATGTGCCCGCAGCCAAGGTACATGCCCTTGACCAGAATCGAACTTGGGACCTTTCAGTCCACAGTCATTGAGCCAAACCGGTTTCGGCTCACTGCAGCCATTTTGTAATTCTGCCCCTCCCTCTAGTAATCTCACTAAGGAATAGTCATGTCCTTTTAATGATGACTTTTAAGTTTATAATTAACACTTAAATGAACCATCTGGATAGTTTCCATACATCTCTTAAATTTGTGTTTAAAAAGTACATGCAGGAGTTATCCCTGACTCTTCTTGCTCACTCCTGATTCCTATCCCACTCACATGCACACACTGCAAGGATCCATTTAACCTTTAAATCTTGATAATTCGTTTGAAAAATCCCTGGTAGGTGTGGCTCAGGGATTGAGAGTAGATCTAAGAACTAGGAGGTCATGTTCAATTCCCTGTCAGGGCACATGCCCAGTGAGCTATCCCCAGTGGTGGTGGGGGATGAGGAGTACATGCAGGAGACAGCGGATCAATGATTCTCATCAATGATTCTTCCTCTCTGAAGTCAATTATATATAGCGGGTATTGGTGGGAGGGTGGGAAGAGATCAACCAAAGAACTTATGCATATATGCATGACCCATGGACACAGACAATAGGGGTAGGAGGGTGTAGGGCTGGCTAGAAGAGGTCATTGGGGGGGCCACATATAATACTTTCAACAATAAAAATTAAAATATATAGGTGTATATATATTATAATTTTGAGGTTACTTGTCATTTTATTATAAACTATGAGGGAAGGACTGTTAGTTTTTCTGGTTCTTTTTAGTCACTATTACATCCTCATTACCCCCAAGTCACTGGTACATTATGTTTGATAAATGGGTTTTGAAATGAATGCTTGAAAGCTTATATGACACTATTCAAGTACAGGATATTAACATGATTTAACAAATCCTGCATTTCAGTATTGCAGTATAGACATTAATTCTAAAAGTTAATGTTGCAATAGTTGTCTATTTTAGACAGCATATATTTAAAAATATTTCACTAGTCTTTTAATAGTCAAGGATTTAATACTACCAGTGGACTTGGTTGGAGCTTTGTACTTTTCCTCTCTCTAAAACAATCAAAACAAAACATTCCTCTGGTGAGGAAAAATAAAAATAATTTTAAGAGTCAAGGATTTAAAATATGAAGGAACCTCAGCATACTCCAGACTCCCACACAGTAGAGAATCAGTTATAGCTAGCTATTCTTACATTTTGTGGCATGTAAAAAAAATACAGTATTATAAAAATACTAAGAAAAACTCCCAATTCTACTAATTTATTTCCATCTTTTGTTTTTTTCCCAGTCTTGTCTCTGTTTGAGATAACCATGAATTCTGCTTTTTATGTTTTACCACTTATAAGCATTTATCATGTTGCTACTTAGTCTATATTACAGAGTACTTTTGACTGTCTTATACTTATTTCTTGAACTTTATTTAATTACATAGCATTTAATCAAGTTACTAGTAGTGTATCAAGATTTAACTATTGGAACTTTTTTGTTGGTGAACATTTTAAATCACTTTATTACCTACAATCTTTTTCTGATTAGATATTAAATGGTAGAGGAAATCCAAATGGGTATATTTTTCTTTTTAAAATTATTTTAAAAATACATTTCTAGAATTGATTTACTACAAATGTGCATAAACAGCTAACAATAAACATATAAAAGGTCATTTTAATTTATACCCCTTTAATAGCTGGGAAAGTCCAACATTTTCCCCCCCATGTATTTGTACTCTCGCTCCTGTGTGAATTCTTACTCTTTGTTAAGCTACTATTTTTTATCTTGATTTTTAAGGTCTTTGTATAATCCATATTTCAGTACTTTATCCTATAAGATATTTCTCCCACTCATTTTTTGTTATATTTTTCATTGAACAGAGATTTAACTTTTAAAAATATATATATCTTTATTGGTTTCAGAGAGGAAGGGAGAGGGAGAGAGAGATAGTAACATCATTTAACCCTTGACTTTTGGGGATATTGGAAAACGAAGTAAAGCTATTGTTGAGAAATATCTGGATATTGACTCTCTTTTCTTAAACTATGAAGGTGTGACCTCAGTGACAATAGGATTTATTTCTGAATTTGAGAACCTGTTGTTTTAAAAAAAAGGTTCATATCCTTGGCCAAATAAGTTTGGAACTTAATCCTGTGTTAATGTGTGTGAGATTGTTTGTATACCTGTGTCCCCTCTTCCTACCAATATGTAGGTCATCAAAATTAATGCTGTTCTCTTCTGATAGCCCTACAAATTCAGAAATAGCTATTATTAATTCTTTAGTTGGCATCCATTTTGATAACTAAAACAGTTTCAGGATTGTGGCCATCCAAGTTTCCCTCTAAACAAAATTCTAATTTATTAGTATTTTTCACAGTATCCATATGTCATCTATTGTCTTAGTGTCCTTCATTGTCTCTAAAAGAGTGATGATTATTTCCCTTCCTAAAGTCTAGAATTAATTGAATATTACTGAAAGTTACTTAGAAAATACTGCTTGTTAAATGCAATGCAAATCTCTTTCAGGACAGTTATATGATGGCTATGATGAAGAATATGACTGTCCTATTTTAGATGAAGATAGAGTAAGTATGAATTTTAAAGTAAATACACATTTAAAAAGTTTTAATTGGAAAGTTGACATACATTTTTTTAAACAGCACTCACCTTTTTTCCTCCACCTTTCTTACAGGTAGTTGATGAGTTAGAAAACCAAATGAGTGAAGGTGGAGTTATTATTGATTACCATGGTTGTGATTTCTTCCCTGAACGCTGGTTTCATATAGTTTTTGTGCTGAAAACAGATAACAGTATATTGTACAAAAGACTTGAAACAAGGTAAGAAAGGGAGTACACTGAATTCTAAAAGTATAATACAAACTTTTATTCAGATTCAGAAATTGGCCAATGTGACTATTTTATTTGGTCTCTATCAACATTTTGAATGTAAGAGAAAAAGATACTTACAAAAGATAAATACAAATGCTTGTATAACACAGGCATTTGTGTAACTAAATGAATACCTCAACTGACAGTTTGATATACATAAAATGTACTATAGCAACTTTTAAAAAAATATATTTTATTGATTTTTTACAGAGAGGAAGGAAGAGAGATAGAGAGATAGAAATGTCGATGAGAGAGAATCATTGATCAGTTGCCTCTTGCACACCCCCTACCGGGGATGTGCCCGCAACCAATGTACATGCCCTTGACCGGAATCGAAGCTGGGACCCTTCAGTCCACAGGGTGGTGTTCTATCCACTGAGCCAAACCAGCTAGAGCAATACAACCAATTTTCAAAAATGTTCATCAACCCCCTAAAAAAGACTGTCTTTTCATAAAATTAATCATCTTCCAAGTAGTTCCATTTAATTTTTATTGCTACAAGATTTAACTAATTCAAGTTTGAATTTTCTTTATAATTTTCAGTAGCTAATTGATAGGCTAATTTATATACTGCCTAAAGATTACTTGTTTATTTTTTCTATGTCTTTGGAATTTGTAAAATAGAACTACATCTGTGATCAAGTATCCAAACTAGTAGACAGTATTTCAATCATATGCATTTTATTTTATTATATGCCATCTATTTATTTCATCTGTCTATATCTTAACTCCTCTAGTAATTCTATTTAAAATCTAGACCATATATATAGACTTCTTATTTACCTCATAGCTCAGAATCTGGCTTGTGATAGATATTTTTGCTAACTGAGTGACTGACATAAAGTCAGGAGGAAATAAATTTCAGATAAACCTAAACATTGGTTTTAGTTTAATGCTCTTGACAAAGAAGTCCCTCATTATAGATGCCAGGCTATTTTCTATAGGTAAGGAGACTACAAGAAGTATTTTTGCATGATTTTTCATATATTCCAAAGTGTCCAGTTTCTGGTATGTTCCTAAAACGCCAATTAATGCTATTTGTTTGCTTTTTTTCTCTCTGCTTTCTAGGGGTTATAATGAGAAGAAATTAAAAGATAATGTTCAGTGTGAAATTTTTCAAATTCTTTATGAAGAAGCATTAGCATCCTACAGCGAAGACATAGTGCATCAACTGCCCAGCGATAAACCAGAAGATCTAGAGAATAATATCAATCAGATATTGAAATGGATTGAGCAATGGACCAAAGATCATAGCTCTTGACTTAAAAGACTGGCCACTTTATAATCACTCTTAATATTTCTCTGCCCACATCATGTAAATTATCCATTTATTAGGAAACCTTTTTGTTAAAATTATGCTGCAGGATTAGTAGGTGGATAGTATGAAGGTTTATATTTGCATGTGTTTTTTTCCATAAGAAAGTATAATAAATATAACTCTTTTAAAGGTTGAGAATAAAAACTGTCATTGTTTAATTTTTCAATTGCTAAAGAATAAATAGCCGAAACCGGTTTGGCTCCGTGGATAGATCGTCAGCCTGCGGACTGAAAGGTCCCAGGTTCGATTCCAGTCAAGGGCATGTACCTTGGTTGCGAGCACATCCCCAGTAGGGGGTGTGCAAGAGGCAGCTGATCGATGTTTCTAACTCTCTGTCCCTCTCTCTTCCTCTCTGTAAAAAATCAATAAAATACATTTAAAATTAAAAAAAAAAAGAATAAATAAACCTGATCAAATGTGTGGAAGAATATTGTTTAAGTTTATTAAAGAAGAAAATGAACATGATCTTGTAAAATAAAATTAAAGTCTAAAGATAAAGCACAAGAGCTTCCATTTTTTATTCCCTTTTATGGAAAGGAGGGCTGGTAATACTTATTCTATATTTAGTGTTTCTCCACATTTTCCTTAACCAGCTGCTTTTCTTTTTCTTTAAAAAAAAAAATATATTTTATTGATTTTTCACAGAGAGGAAGGGAGAGGAACAGAGAGCTAAATCATTGATGAGAGAGAAACATCGACCAACTGCCTCCTGCACCGCCCCCCCAGGGGGGATGTGCCCGCAGCCAATGTACATGCCCTTGACCGGAATCAAACCTGGGACCCTTCAGTCCATAGACCAACACTCTCCACTGAGCCAAACCGGTTTCGGCAACCAGCTGCCTTTCAAAAGCAAACATACCTAGATAGATGGAAAAGTAGACAGAACCGAGACTCTAAAAGCTTCCCCTGATAATAGGACAAGATCAGTGAATGCGCTTATTAGATAGCATTGAACGGTCTAACGTTACCTTCACTGACGCACACACTTGGCCTTGGCCTGTTTTCCCCCCAGCCCCGGGCTATTATGTAGACCTTGGCTGCCGGAGCGGGAAAGCAGGCTCTGCAGGTGGAGCAGGAAGCGGGGAAGCCGGGCTTTGCAGGTGGAGCCGCTGCCCGCGCCCTCGGCCCCGCAGGTGATGCCCGGGCGGCGCCTCCCGCGGTCATGTGGCCGGAGGGCGGCGCGCGACGCGGAGGCTCAGCGCCGGGTGAGCGCGGGGCGAGGGGGCGGCGGGGTCCCCATCGCCTGGCGGGGTCCGCGGTCCCTCGCCCCCGCTCGCGGGCGGTGGGGCCCGGGGCGGGGCGGAGCCCGCAGGGGGGCACCGCGCGTGGGGGGACCCGGGCGGCGCGCGGCCGTGGGGACTCGGCGGCTGTGGAGGAGCTGGCCGGCCGGCTCCCTCCCCGCTGAGGCTGGCTTCATGTAAGGTGACCAGATCGTCCCGCTTTGGGCGGGACAGTCCCGATTTTCAACAATGTTCCCCGCGGCGTTTTAAAGAAGTCCCGATTTTTGGAAAGATTATTTACAAAAATCGGGACTTTTAAAAAAAATAAATCTTTATTGTTCATATTATTACAAATCTGGACTCTTTTAAAACGCCGCGGGGAAATTGTTTAAAAATCGGGACTGTCCCGCCAAAAGCGGGAGGATCTGCCTGTCCGACGGTGAAAATATAAGGAATAGGATTGAAAGGCCGTTTCCGCCTCTCTCTCTCCCTTCCTTATTGTTTTCCTATTCATTTTGAGCCTTAGCGATGACCGCGCACTAAATGCTATGCCGTGTCCTGGATCGCTTCCTGGAACAGAAAAAGGACATCAGGAGAAAAACTGGGGAGCTTCTGATAAAGTCTGTAGTTTAGTTCACGTTAACGTCTTAATGTTGATAAAAGTACCCTAATATTAACACTAGCGGAACCTAGGTAAAGGACACACAGGAGTTCTCTGTATTATATTTGCATGTCACTGTAAATCTAAAGTTGTCTTAACAGGAAAAGTTTCAGAACAAAAGCCTCCAGGGCTGTGCGACAGGCCACTGTGCAGGCAGGGATCCAGCTCACTGCTCTCTGCCAGGCCTGACAGGAATTGTTTGTTTGACCAACCTGTTTGCTGAGGCCAGAGCTGTTAGGCTAGTGGGTGTGGATGCTCCCAGTCCAGTTTTCCAGGCAGGAATCTGTTTCCTGTTTTAAATCTGTCTGTCAGCTATCTTTGGGACACTTGTGATGCATAAGCAAACGAGACACAAATACTCGCTGCACTAGGGGTGTGTCCAGTAAAAACATTAGGTAAGGAGTAAGGACTTAAAAAAAAGAAGTAAGGACTAGTAAAAGGTATAGTGCAGAGTTAGAAGGGCTAAGGTTGGAGAAATCACATGTGGCCAGGGTACTCTGGAGGCCTGGCTGACCTAAGGGGGGGAAGCATCCCTGGGGTGGGAATTGAAGGTGGCCCGGCTGCCGCTACCTGGGAGCAGATGTAGGTTCTCTCACGTGGGAGCACAAGGCATGCCCAGGAACTACTCACAGTTGAAACAGGAAGTGAAAACAGGATTCTTGAAGCAAACAGGGCAATACTTTAAAAAAATAAAAAAATAAAAAAAAATAAAAAAAAAAAAAAAATATATATATATATATATATATATATATATATATATATATATATATATATATATATATATTTCAGAGAAGGGAAAAGGAGATAGAAACATCAATGACGAGAGAGAAGCATTGATCAGCCACCTCCTGAATGTTCTGCATTAGGGATCAAGCCCAAAACTCAGGCATATGCCCTGGCAGGGAATCGAACTGTGACCTCAACCACTGAGCCACACTGGCTGGGCAACAGAGCCACACTTTTATAATATAGGCCATGGGAGCCATCAATGGACAGGCATCACTGGATCTGTGCTTGGCAACAGTGTGTAGGGTAGCTTGGAGTCGATCAGTTAGGGAATTATTGGTCTAGACCAGGAGAATAAGAAATTCAGCCAGGCCCGTGAAGTTCAGGTGCAAAGGACCAGGCATTGGGAGATTGTGGATCTAGAGGACTTGACACCTGAAGGTACCGAAGAGAAGAAAAAAATTCCGAAGTTTGGGCTTGGGTGTTTTAGAGCATGGTTGCTGCGTTTGCAGAAATAGAGGACGCAGGAGGAGACACAGCTGGAACTGGGGAGGGGAATGGATTTGTTTTTAAACAAGCTGTGTTTGAATTGCTACCAGGATATCCTGCGGGAGATGTGTCTTTAAGAATGGAAGCCAAACATATACTGAAGGGACAGGAAGAGGAAAGGAGCCTGAGGGGGCAGATAAGAGAGAGTCAGTATTGGAGGTGGGGTGGGGGAAGATTTCTTGGCTTTTCAAACCTCTCCCTGCCCCCAACGAGATTCCTGTGGGACCAGGGGCCTGGGCTGTGAGTCAGTAGGCACATCTTCTGCAGAAGTGGAGGTGGCGGAGGGATGAGACTAGGTCTTAGATTTAGTGGCTAGGAAGTCACTGGTCTCTTCAGAGAGTTATTTTCGTGCTCTGTCTGCAATCTGTTTATCCCGAGTGACCAGACCACAGAACAAGGAGCAGAGAGATGGTTCCTAAGTTCTGTATTGTTTGGAGTTAGGCATCTGTGTCTAGACTGGCATAGTAAAGTACCGCTCTTAATAAAACCAGAAGGGCTCTTTCATTGTTAACAACACCTCACAGTTCATAGAACTAGGGTTCCAGGCGGCACTTTGGAAAATGCTGATACAGAACTAGGATTTTAGGGTTCTAAAGAACAAAAAAGTCTTGTCCAATTCCTCCATTTGACAAATGAAAAAACTAATACTCAAATTCTAATTCATTAAACATTGATTTCAAATATATTAGTGGTGCCCAAATATAGGGTTTATAGAGCTAAGCATAACTCTCTAAAGTAGTTATGCTTAAACCCATTTTGGAAATTTGAAGACAGGCTCCAAGAAGTCACAGAATAGCAGTAGTGGAGTGAAATTTGAAGCCAGAACTCCCGAGGCCAGGCCTTCTCTGTTGCACATCTGCTGCCTCCCTGGCTGTCAACATTAAATGCATTTAAAACTAGTCAAATGGAATGTTAGTAATATGTTCCAAAAGTCAAGTTTAATTTGATTGCATTCCACGTTAATATTACTATTAGTATATAAAAATTGGGAGGTTCCACAGCCAATAGTTCCTGAATTAAAAAACAGTAGGGCATTGGACCATATGAAAGCTTACTATTATGTTAAACTCTTAATAGCAGGAAGATGTTCTCATGATGCCTGAATATATGGGGTACATTAAAAAATATTCTTAGCTAATCCTGTGGTTGCATATTCTTTCCTCTTATTGCATTTTTCCTTTGTGTTGACCAATTCCATTTTCTTCACTGCTGGCTGCCTAACCCTGACCACATCTTCCTTAGCAGAGATACGAGGTTATAAACAGGAATCTAGAAAACACAGCATCTTAGGTTAACACATAACTTCCTATCTACCCTGACAAATTAAAATAGAACTTACTTATTTAGGAAGTAAACTTGTAAAGGAACCAAGATGATTTTATTAAAGTTTTGGGGGAAAAATGGATCTGCCTGGCTGGTGTGGCTTACCAATTGAACATTGACCTATGAACCAAGTGGTCACGCTCTGATTTCCGGTCAGGAACATGCCCAGGGTTTGGGCTTGATTCCAGGTAGGGGGCATGCAGGAGGCAGCCAATAAATGATTCTTTCTCATCATTGATGTTTCTTTCTCTCCCTCTCTTTTCCTCTCTGAAATCAATAAAAATATATTTTAAAAATATATAAATAAATAAAAATAGGCCCAATAAAGTGTTGACTGTTGCTAAAACTAGCTATTTAAAGCTTTTACTTTCAGTTCTATTAGAAACTTGATTTACTCAGTAATAGAAACTTGATTTACTTTGATGTTAATTTCATTGAAATTTTCCAAGTGATACAAAGCAGAG